ACTAAGTTTACCCTGACCAGGATGTGAACTCGTGGCCTTCAAATTGTGAGTTGGCACTCGAATCACATTACGGCGTTGCTACATTTTTGAAAGAAATGTACGTTATTATGTTTTACTCGTCCAATATTCACAACATTTTCAATTCAAACTATATCCCTCAAGCCACTGAATGTTTTCAACTCCATTGGTGGCCTAAACCAGAGATTGACATTCCACATTTTTCCTGGTGGGTGTCAGTCTCAACATAGCACATATATATGGTGGCAGTTACCGTACTTCAAAAAAAATATTTGCCTTTTCAATGAGCCTAATTAGAAATAGGTTTACTTCATGAAGGTATTTGGGCCTTAATACACATGTTTTAAGAAAGTTGCTGTACGTTTGAATCATTTATGCATGCATTGATTGCTGACTCAATGACCGAATAAGCACATGACCTTCAATTGCCTTGCTTGTCGTGAAAGTACATTTAATCAGACTATTGGCTTAGTGTCCATTAGCGTTTTCCCCTACGGTGCAGTACAGTATTGCGCTTGATGGGAACCTATTCTTAGAAGACATTGTCTGGCTCCAGATGTCCATGCTATATATATCCTTGGACAGTCCCTGACAGAAGCGAGTCTGCTGGTTAGCCTGACCTGCATCGGATATCATTCTCAGTTGTGCGTGCATCTGTATTTGATTTATGGCGGTGTTAGCTTCTGCTAGCCTGTGTGTTGCCATTTGATCTCTTGATAATCACTCCAATGGAAAAACCCAAGAGTTTGTGCATTTGTCGGCTATATATATTCGTACCATTTTGGAAAACGCTTGTTGTGACTTTTTACATCTCTGAAATATGCTGGTACATCCATTGATGAGTTTGACGCGTAGGCTTTCGCGACCAATAAAACAAAAATCTGGGTTAGATCGCGTAAGAATAAATGTGTCGTTAACCCGCCACCACCCGATACAGCCAATTCGTAAGGTTTGGCACGTAAACAAAACATGCCAATTAGTTACTACTTCGCCCCACCGGTGTGTTGGATAGTAAATCCACAACATATACAATTTGAGCGAGGCGTTTCGCTGGCAGTTACATTCAGCTTCATCGGGCGATTTTTACAGACTTTATGACCAGAAGCAGGTACACGTCCATCAATTATTTACCACGGCTGAATTTGACTCGTCTGTGAAAGAAAGCCACCTTAACGCCAAAGGTTTTCACTTTAACACTGTAACGTGAACCGTCTCTGAAAACAATGAACATAACTTCGATATGGCCGTCTGGTGTCCCCACACAATGGATATTGCTCGTTGACCCTCCAAATCGTGAAATCGTGCACCGATGACACTTTAACACAATGTTTGTTCCTGGGTAGTAAGTATTTCGTAATTGCTTATGCCTACAAAGTATAGATAATGGCTATTTCCCACAAACATTGCTTTTGTGACCAGGACAATGATATTTTGAAATGTACTTATTTTCAATGAAAAAACGGGCGAATTTATATCTTTTCACATAAAGTCAGAAGAAACAACATTTATCAAAATTAACAGGTATTTATACTAAAGTAATACAAAAATGACTTCAAAAGATTTAGAAGTGAGTAGTTTTTCGAAATTTACGATTATACTGTAAATCACTTTCACGAATCAGCCCCCAAATGTAGTCTCACATGTTCTTGTTATGCTGTCCTTGGTAGCGGCGTTCAAAGTCCAGTATATCCTGGTGGAAGCGCTTGCCTTGCTCCTTCGAGTACGCTCCCATGTACTCCTTGAATTGATCAAGATGAGCATCAAGGATATGGACTTTGAGGGACATCCTACAGCCCATTTTGCTGTTGTTCTTCACCAGAGTCTCAGCAGCTACACAGTAGTTTTCGACCTTCTGATTGCCCAGGAAGCCACGAACCACTGCGACAAAGCTGTTCCAAGCCGCTTTCTCCTTACTAGTGAGCTTCTTGGGGAGTTAATTGCACTCCAGGATCTTCTTTATCTGTGGTCCGACGAAGACACCGTCTTTGACCTTGGCCTCAGACAGCTTAGGGAATAAGTCTTGAAGGTACTTGGAGGCTTCTGACTTCTTATCTACAGCTCTGACAAATTGTTTCATAAGGTCCAATTTGATGTGCATATATGGCATGAGCACCTTCCGGGCGTCCACCAGTGGCTCCCACTTGACGTTCCTCCCCACAGAGAACTCGGTCCGCGGTGGCCAGTCCCACCTGTGGTAGTGCGCCTTGGTGTCTCTGCTGTCCAAAAGGCAAAGATAGCAGGGAAACTTTGTAAAACCGCCTTGGAGACCGACCCATCAGGAATGCCACCATTTTGAAGTCTCCGATGACCTGGCCATGCTCATCATTCTTCAAGGCGTCCAGCAAGGTCTTGGTGCTGTTGTAATCCTCTTTGAGGTGCACCGAGTGAGCCAGGGGAAGAGACGGGTACTTATTACCATTATGGAGCAGCACGGCTTTGAGGCTCCTAGATGAGCTGTCAATGAAGAGGTGCCACTCATTCTGGTTACAGGTGATTCCGATTTCCTCGGACAGACTGGTCACATTGTGGTAGAAGCAGAGCCCATCTTGACGGGTGAAGAAGCTGCAAAAAGGTTGGTGACGCTTCCTCTGGTCCGCGACTTGCACACTTTTATCCAACAATTTCCACTGCTTGAGTCTAGACGTCAAAAGCTCGGCATTAGACTTGGAGAGACCAAGATCTCTGATCAAGTCGTTGAGGTATTTTTGGTTGGGGTAGTATGGGTTTCTCTCCTCAGCTCCACCTCTGAAATTGTCAACTGGATCTACAACGTCTCCCTCGCTGCTTTCTTCTAAAGACGGCTGCTCTCTCTTCAGAGGAGTGGGTACGGGGAGCTCATGGCAGTGTGGCACTGGGGCGATGGATGAAGGAAGGTCCGGATACGTGATAGCAGGTGCATTCTTGCCAGTACGACGTTTGGAAGGGTCCACCATGCAGAAGTAGCAGTTGCTTGAGTGGTCAGTGGGTTCCCGCTAAATTCTTGGGATAGCGAACTTCATGGCTCTCTTTTCCCTTCTGTACCATCCTACAAAAATAAATGTATTTCACCCATGACTGTGTGAGATTCTCGCAACATTTTTCATATATGATATATTTTTTCAATAACATTGTAAAACATTTAAAAATAAAAAAAATTGTAACAAATTTTTGAACAAAATTCAGAGCAATAATTGTCCATCTTACCTTCCATAGTTTTTTTTGCATTGCTCGCAAGTGAAATGAGGTGCCCAGGGTTTCTCTTGATCCCTGACAGGCATGCCGAAATATGCCTTGTCGGCCTCACATCTTAGCAGATGCTTCCACAGAGTACTTTTTCGCTCTTGTCTTGATAAATTGGCCGCAGACATAGCAAAATGCGTCGGCTGCATGCTTTCAGCCTCTTGATGCCATCTCAGAAAAATGCAGATATGTATCCACTTAGGCAGCTGGAACTAAACTGAACTGGTGGGCTTAAGGCCCCTGTATTTATACTATTTATGTTACTGGAAAGTTCTAGAATTTACTCAAAGTTTACTCGGCACTGAATCTATCTAGAATTTTCTGGAAAATAGGTACATTTCAAAATATCACTGTCCTGATCACAAAAGCAAAGTTTATGTGGAATAATAGCCATTTTCTGTACTTTTGAGGCATAAGCAATAAGGAAAATAATACTACCCAGGAACAAAATAAATAAGTAAAAATACGTATAAAATTTTACATTTTTTATGGTTTTCATTTTTGTGACATTTAAATTGGCATGTTTGCTCCTGAGTATCTACTCATGGACATCTGCTCGTATACTGTGTAGGATTCAAAACTATTCATATGTTTGCATCACCCTTTCCAAAGGGTGTAAAGCAATAACAGTATACATTGTAAGGTGTGGGTCTATCACTTTGGTGGAACTCCTCTTATCTGTGCTCTTGAAGGACCTAATTGCAAATAAGAAATTACCCTGAACAGGGCCGTTTGAATCTGCTTTCTGAAAAAAAAACCCTACCGATGACCATTATCTGCACTGATTGTGATAACCATAGTTTATTTAGCGATGTTAAGTGTGGCGAGGTGTACAATGTCATACACTATATGGGAGTTGTGGTAGTATGAGCAGCTACTCGAGATCCTGATCAAGAGGGCATCTTCATTCTGTAAATAATGGGATGAATTTCAGATTATGTGGCAACAGATAAATTCGTCAAGTCTGGCTGCTTTGAAGAAGGGCCATAGATATATGTGTTTTTTCCTGTTGTAAAGCAGTGTTGATGATGATGGTAATTGTGTGTTTGTTTCGAAGCGTGTGTTTGAAGCAGAGGTCTCAAACGGGGTTTGATTCCTTACCCGTACCCGTACCCGGCCGCACCAGGGTCGGAAATGGGCCGGGTACGGGTACCCGTTCCCTACCCGTACCCGTACCCTACCCGAAATGAGTGACAAACGGTTATTCACCAGTGACTCACGGCCTATCCGTACCCGGCCGCACCAGGGTCGCAAACGGCTACCCGTACCCGGCCGGGTATCGGGTACCCGGTTGCGACCTCTGGTTTAAAGTCCACGGTTGTCTTTAAAAGTGTCCTCGTGTGTTTAACACCTCGCCTGGGGGCCATCCATTGAGGACGTAACGCAAAAATCTGTCGCAACTTGAGCCCTCACCCCCTCCCTGTACGCACGCGGACTTTTTACACCCCCCCCCCCATCTGCGTACGTAGGCCTGACGCACCCCCCCCCCCCCCCCCCCGAATCATATAGAACGGCCGATATTTTATCCACGCAGAAACGATCAAGGATTAATAATATTAACGTGTTTAAGCAAACAGTCCACTGCCGGACTAACTCATTTGAAGGCCAATGTAGACAAATTATTATCGAGGCTTCACCCCCCCCCCCCGTTTCCTATGCGTACGCACATTGCCAATAGACCCCCCCCCCCCCCCATACGCAAGGGCACGCGTTTGGGTTAACCCCCCCTCCCCCTCTATGCGTACGTACTGAATGGATGGCCCCCTGATACTCGCGTTTATAACCCTGTGCCGGGGGGGTTTAACTAGGAAGACACGTGCATAGCAAACGGTGAATGCCAAGAGGTTTTTTTTTTATTAGGTAGCATGCAATGGAGTCTCGTCTTCAGCACAGTCCAACGCATTAGTCGACCATAGCAACAGAGTTCAAGTTTGCATTTACATTTTTAGTAAAGCAGGCTCGTCGTCAACAGACTTGGCATGAAATTAATGTTGAGCAGTGTTTTGTTTTTGTACAGGTCACGAACAAAATGTAACAGCGAGCGGCGCAGTAAATAGGTGGACATGTTTTTCGTGACAGGGTATAGATGTTTATGTAGACACACGGAAACAAAACATGGATTTTCTGCAATTTAGTGGCGTTGTGTTTTGTATGCCTTGCCAAGTGTTTACATTGTTAGGATGGTCTGTTTCAACACTAGAGCTGTGAGGAGAAGGAAATCAGCGGCATTGTTGGAGGTTTAAAAATTTCAAGTGGGATTTAACGCAAGGAGAATTCCCAATCTTGATTCCCAAATGACAAAAGTGTCTCCAAGTTGAAATGAGCACAGGGAGAGCACCTACATCCATTGGCAGACTTGAGCCATTGGTAGGAATTTCAGCTTCTCGATGGAATAGCCACCGTTGTAATTCCGACAAAGCAGTTCTCATTTTATAGACTTGCAGAGGACTCAATAAAATGACTGACTGCAAGCTGAGCGCTCTAAACAGTGTGCCATCCAATGTAGTAAGTGGGAAACGGTCCCGATTTAACATCCCACAGGAGCCCTTGTGTCGTCATTACTGGCACGGGGGGGGGGGGTGTTTAATATGGAGTGTCCCACTTTGCCTATCGGTGGTGTTCAATTTGGACTGTACCACTTTTGTCACGTGTAGCCCCACATTGTATCCTGGAAATGTTATCCCATTGAACAGCATCCCACATTTGTACGTAGACATTTAGTGGGGTTGTGTTGCTGCAATAAACTCCGCAAGGGTTTCGTTTGGGTGCTATTTTGATGATTGCTAAATAAAGGGAAGAACATGCTTTGAAGTGAGGTTTGTTGACATGTCTAAAATCTATGTACATTTGACAGACAATACATGCAGCTTATCTTAACTTTTATGTTTACAGTTCAGTACTAAGGACAACGTTCAATCAACGACCACATGTTAAAATGGAGACGCTACGTGTTTTCTAATGTACATTAGGCTATACTTGGGAAACTATGTAGAATATAATACAACACAACTCCCTCTATTCAGTGCGTCAGGATATATTCCTATTCCTAAGAGTAGAACACTGCACGTTTTCACAACATGATAATATTATCCATTTAAGCAAAAATAAGAGCCTAGCCGTACCAATTTGTATCAGTATTTTTTTCTCCAGAAAAGTTGAAAAACTATATGCTATATGTGATGCCTTCTTTTTTTAAACACTGCTTTGAAAAATATATGACTTACTGTTACGCTATTTTATTTTTTATAACCAGAGGGGTGAAAAGGTTGCTTGGAGGGGTTTAATACCCTTGTCAGAGCACACATCGGGCACCACTAATAACCAGGGTTCAATCCCGAGATTAATCTAATAATCTAAGTCCCTGTGTCGAGCGTATTGGTGATCTTTACAGTCCATCTCCAAAGGCGACGTTTGTAAATGCACATGAACTCTGACAGACATGTGGTGAACAATTCTATATATATAACATCAACAAGTGCCATCTAGTGTTGGGTAAGAGAGGCCTAATTAAGATACCCCCAGAAGAAGTTCTGTAGCATCTGCTAGAGTAATTGCCCAGTGTGACATCACCACTATTTGGGAGGCATCGCTAACCTGGGCTTTCTATTCGCCTCGTACCAATTAACTTAAAAATAGAACCTCACCTCAAATGTAACGTTAATATTTAAAACTTAACACGCTTAAGCTGCACTGTGGTGTACACTGGCATAATAGCTTCAGTTGAGAGCACAGCGGCGCGGCTGGTTAGAGCGTCGTCACGCTGCAGCCCTCGCCCAGGGAGAGGCCCGAGTCCCGGGTGGAGGGCGCCGTGCGAGCCGTGCTGATGCCTGGCAGGTGCTTTTCCTGCCGCGCGTATCCCGCCTGCTTGTAGCCATCCTCGGCTGCCACCCCAGCTGCATTGCCACCCTGTGGCGGCCCGCCTACTTGCTCGGCTGCCTGCTGCTGCTGCTGTGGTTGCGCTACCGTCGGAGTGGCGGCGCCCCCCTCGAAGCCCGAGTCCTCGCGCTCAGGCGGCACAAAAGCCACTGAACGCGGCGCCACTGACGCGTAGTTGCAGGGAGGCGACAGCGGACCGTGGCCCTGCGATAGCTCCAACGTTCCTGCCTTGAAAGCAGCCTCCTTGGCAGCCGGGGTCATCCAAGATCCATAGGTCGGGTTCCACAGGTTGTTGCCGTTCGCCTGGCCAGGAGCTGGCTGACCAGGGTGCGAGAGGATGGCCGTGGCTTGCTGCAGTTTCTTGAGGTGCTGCTGCTGCTGTTGCTGCTGCTGTTGAAGTGGATAATGCTGGTGAGATTGGTGTTGCTGCTGCTGCTGCTGGTTACCCGGGTTCCTGGGATCATGGCCAGCCTGGTGGTGCGTGGGACTGGGCCGGGCAGGCTGTGGAGGGGCAGCAAAGGGTGCTGCCTCAAGTGGGCCGCTCATGGGCAGTGGGGGCACCCGGTCTGGGTTGGGAGGACGCATCACAGTGTTGCCCTCGTCATCCGGAGGTGGCATGTACTCAGTTGGCAGTGGGGTCTGCACCACATCCGGGTCCTGTTCAGGGTGGCAAGAGATGGATGTGTTATTAACTTTTTCTTTAAATTTCAAGATGTATCTCTTGTGAAATTTATCAGCATTATGTCAAGACTAGTGCGTTTCCATGCTGGAGTGCTTTTGCAAGTATATTCTGAATTTGTGTCAGGGAATAGCCCCTAGAAATATCACAGATCTGTTATTTAAAACAACGTGGTGGACGCTTATATGGCTGATGAAGAGTGTTTATTGCAAGGCATTCAAATCTATTTAGTCCTCATTGCCGGAATAAAAAAAACACATTTTGTATTATTTTTCTGTGCAGTCATGGGTTACCAATTAGTTACTGGTAAGGCGCTCTTTTTGATGATGGGTGGTTCAGATTGTTAGCCAATCTGACATGATGTTAGCCCATGTAAGCCAATGCGCCACCTCAGAAGATCAAGGTAACCATGAAGACCAGAGCTGTTGACACTACTGATACCATCAAACCTGATTATTATTGTGTATGACAAATCTCACGACTGTTGTGCAATCAAGACCGCACTTCCAATGTCTGCACTTGGAGCATTGCACCATCTATTTTATTTTACATGGTAAGGCCCACTGAGCTATATAGATATTTTTCAGAAGCGACCTGGCCACAAATGATAGCTCAACGAAGTGGTTTATGTGGAAATGTAGAGCAGCCATATATTATTATTGTCAACCTCTAGATTCCCACTTCAATGTCACAGAGCACTGTGTGGGAGTGTTGCACCTGTGTACAGTAAGTGATTCGCTCCAGGATGGTTGAGAAGTTGGGCCTGTCCTCTGGTCGGTGTTGCCAGCACTGAGTCATGATCCGGTACCTGTATGAGCAGAAACCTCTTAAACCGAGAGCAACACCAATTCCCCTACCCACATGTAAACAAGCTGGATGTGAAACCTCTTGAGTCGCTTTAGGACGGCCGTCAACAGAATCAGGCCCCTACGTGCGCGTAAAGTATGACGCTTAACACACAGGAGTGCATAAAGGCATGTTTGATAATTGTGCATGCTTGAAACTAGCACATTGGCAACGTGTTTTTTCTTTCATTTCCTCAATACATCTTAAGTACATTTTTGTCAGTATGTCAGGATAAAACAAATTTAATGCAAATACTTCACTGAACATGGAAATTGTAAAAATCAAAGTGTCTCCGTGCCCAACAATATCTTAACTTTTGATCACGGTTGACTACGTACGGTGCGAAAGAAGTCCAACATAAATACATACTTCTGCTGGAGCCCCAAGGCCTGTCATGGAAATTCTTTATTTTTACGTGAGGGACGAAGTCTATCGCTAGAATTATTGACTTTACAAAATGGTACTTATTTCCGTTTTGAACTGAAGCAACCCCTGACCAGGAATTTAACTTGCAACTTAAAAATTGTGGCTGAGAGTTGGCTCAGCCCCTACACTTTTGGGTTCACTTAGTGGTCATCCAGTGTAACACTTTCCTGCAGAGGGAGCTGGTAGGAACGTTGGGTTGCTCGGTCAATGGCCAGGGTCAACGGCGGCGTGGTGGTGTATTCCGCAAATATGGCCGACTGTGAGGGCGGGCACAAGCCGGCGTGAGTAGGTTAAACGTTGAGTTTTATAAGGGTACCACAGGGTGACCAGCCCCTCCCCACCCAGCCCCACCCTCCCCACCCAGCCCCACCCTCCCCACCCTCCCCTCTCCACCCAGCCCGACCCCTCCCATTTTCGGATGCACGACGGATGGACACAATAATCCCTTGTGAGCTGGTGGAACCAGGTGGTTCCTACCAGTATAAACTGGAACCCCTCCATAGGAGTGTGTAAATTCCACCACTCGCCAAAAAACGGTGCATGACCGACATCGTATGTCACGTGTCGTTTGAAGAACATAGGACTAAGTTCATAACTATATCGAGTTTGGAAATCCATTCGATAGAGTTTGGGGGGAATGACGACACCATATGGATTCCGCTTGCACACAATTTGGAACTCCTGCATCACCGCCGCATTGCTCAGTGGAAGAGTTAAGATACATTGTCTCGATGCATGGGGCAGTAACATGGCCCAGCAATGGCGTGTTCACCGTTTGTCCAGAGGTTCACAGTTCGATCTCTGGCAGGCCATCATGGTTATCACTGCATCTACATTAATTGTAATAAATTCAGCATCCGCTTCAATCCTTCTTGTCGTTAAAGATCCACGCACATTTTAAACAAGCTAGCCTGTTGTGTTGTCGGTGTCGTCCAAGTTTACCAAATTCGAAAATTACTCACATTACTCAATTTGAAGTACGCGTAGCAATCATCGCCTCCTACTGGCAGACAAATGCCCACCCTGTGCCATACAAGGACAGCTGCCACTGGGAGGGCCCTTTCCACCATGTGGAAATAAACCGCCCGACGTAAAGGACGACGCTCTATGAAAAAACTAATTATCAACAACATTTTGGATATCCTAAAGGTCACTTTGTCAATGCAGTGGTATCTAAAGGCATCCACATAAACGTTCCAGCATGGTACGCACACGGGCACGGGGCAGTTCTTTGGTGGGTCCATGCGGCCACCGCTTGTGACGAACTCCATCACCTCCTGGTTGCTCTTGCTCGGGTAGGGCATGTAGCCCAGGGAGAAGATCTCCCACAGCAACACCCCAAACGACCTAGACAACCAACGTTGGGAGGCAGCCGTGAGTGACACGTACAGAGCGCACGTGAGAGCCCTTTGTCGATCCAGCTCTGGACGTGGGCGTCTCCCCTACAGTGTGGGGTGTGGGGGTTACTTGACCGAACATCGTCACACTGTGGCCGGCTTGGGTTGGTGCCAGTGGGGAGCATAGATGTGAGAACGAAACGGTACAACAGTACCGCAATGGATTTTTCTGCGTGGACCTTTTTTCCGGACACCACGTAGCCGTGCAGCCAATAAGAATATTATCTGCAAAGCGGCCACCAATCCGCGCACAACCCAGGCTCAACCCCCGACTTGGCTGATGACGAGGTCGGGTGAAATTCTGGGTCATTTGGTCGTCGGCGAATGACACAGACAAAGCCAGATTCAACATGTGCTCTAAATCTCCCAAACCCGCACGGCTGCAAGATAGCCAGGAGATGGTGGACCAGCAAATGGTTTTGTGATCCTAACTGTGTAGGCCTTTCGAGTGTTATCCCCCTACATACTCATGGGTTTTCTTCAGCGCTATTGTTTTGCTCCCACGTGCAAACACTTAAAGACCCAATGTATAGGACCCTTCCTGAAACAGTATTGCGTCTCCGTAATGCTTTCCTGTATAGCTGACGTAAAAACATTTTAACGATGGTCTGCAAACAAAATGCTTACACGTACAAATGTCTGTTAACACTTAACCAACACTGAAATGACAAATATTCCATCTTTTGCGTTGTGCAATATGATCGGTGTGTTGGAGAAGACACGTTTAATACTGTTCTCTGGCTAATTTGGAAAAATATTGGATTTGCTGTGTTTCCATCCAACATTGCTCGAAGTGAACTTTACAGCAGCACGTGGAGTACGTCCATACACTGTTGAGACAAAAAAATGCATATTCACAGCACCTTTGTCAATCAACTGCGGGACTAAGGCCTCCTCATGCCATGCCTTTCATGGGGGTTGTTTGACCGTACTTCCCCACGCTGATCAGTCCGAGTTGGTGTGGGGGGTGGACCAAGACTTTTTCAGATATCACTCGCCGCTGGTATTAGTCGTAACCGGGAATCGGACTCCGGTCACCGAGTTCATAACGCAGCGCATGAACAAATTGCGGCACCACTCTACCGCACTGCTATTTAGTCAAATCCCAGCTGAGTGCATAAACGGGTGGCATCGGCAACAGCAAGTCAAGGTCAACTTTCTGACCCTCGAATTGAAACCGAGTAGCGGCAGGATTGTGGCGCATTATGTTAACAATTGCAATAGCGTTTCCAATTCACAAAGATTCCCCAATCTTGCCTTGTAGACCGTAAACGCAGGTGTCGATAACGAGCAGCTCCAAGTCTGGCCCAGTGCTTCTATATCAGGAGGCCAGGTATCTTTGTGAGACTGAGCTCACGTAATGGGGACCGACAACAGGTTGTGACGGCACTCGCCACTGATTGACTGTCTACAGCTGGTAACTGAACCCCAGTCGCTGGGATCACAAAGACACACGCAGACAAACGTGCGCGTAAAAAAAAACGGGCGTGTACAAGTGCACAGGAAAAATCCAATACAAACACACAGCTGAGCACACAAACACGCGCAATGATGGGAAAAGGCTCACATGAGCATCTTGAGCACAAACACACATGCAGCGGCACGCATAGACAATCACACAAACGATCGCGTGTACAAACGTGGAGACACACGTACGCACAATGTATCAACATTTTCTTGACATATACTCTTTGTTTTTGTCGGTGTGATGCCCTAATAATCCCTGGGAGGTGAACAAGATGCTTGACAGCAGACCCAATTTTTTTTATCGTAAACACAACCACTGGCATGTCATACGTCAATTTCTTTCAAACTGATGCTTGACCATAGCGCTAATTTGAAAGTGTCATATGACCCTGATTTAGGATTTATTCAACTGTAAAAAAGCAGCCCTCAGATTATCTCAAAACATTTTCAGACCAACAAAATGTGACCTGTGGTCATATTTTGTTGTTGTTTTCTTGATAATATGTATTTACATATGTCCACAAGTGTACCTGCATCACGCGATGGGATGAAGAGCTTCCAGCAAGGAATTCTCACGCCAAGCAGTGCAATACCATATCGTGCCAGGAAACAGCTACCAGCGCATGTCACGTAAAACTACTCCTCGAAGTAACTCCAATGGGACTCTTTTCCACACCCATCCGTATATACTTGACCAGTGAAGAGTTTTCGTTGCGTGGAAATCGAGCCAAATGTTTAGCACTCCGTACAAGAATGTCAAAATAAGTGAAAAACTGAACGTAGTGTCACGAGGTTTAAAAAAATTATACAATCACTGGTACATGACGTGAAACCAGCTCACAGCCCTTGAAAATCCGATTTAATCATGGTTTGCTGGAGATCGAATTTAAGTCGAAGATTTCAGAGCTGCCAGCCGTCTAACCATCAAATCCAACAAGCCACCCGCCCATGTCAGTATTTGCTCACTCACCATGTATCTGTCTTGGATGTGAAGATGCCCTCCAGAAAGGCCTCCGGGGGCATCCACTTAACTGGCAGCATGGCACGACCACCCTTGCGGTAGTAGCTGGCTCTGTGCCCACACACACCATAGGAGGAGGAAGCGTTCAAGGGATGTGTGCACATCAGCTTTCCCCCCACCACGACCACCACCACGATCCCCCTTCAGTATCTCATGTACGGAAGTGTACCTGTACAGCCCTCATGCACAGCACTTTGTCAATCCACGACCTGGACAAGGAACTTCCCATGCCTCGCAAGCAGTGGGGCGGGTGGTTACTTGAACATGCTTCGCCATACTGATTTGTGTGGGTTGGTGAATATGAAGAGCATAGATGTGGGATCATTCAATATTACAATGGATTTTTTTTCTGCACTGCCCTCTGCTGTCCACAATGTAGTCTCGCAGAAGCCCGTAACAACCTGGTTTCCCATATGAACATTATGCTTCTGAGATGAGACGAGATTTGGGGGGACTTTCCAGGTGACCTGGTTTTTAGACCACAATACAAGGTCTGCATTTGAGCAGAAAGTGTTCTTTATTCCACAAGTTTATATTTGTTTTGTTTTATTGTAGCCTGGTCACCATGTCTATCTATAGGATGACCACTGCTGTCTTCCCATAAAGTGTATATACCAGAGGTGGGACAAAGTCATTGTTATGCAAGTCCAAGTCGAGTCTGAAGTCATCAAATTCATGACTCGAGTCTGACTCGAGTCCAAGTCACATGACTCGAGTCCACACCTCTGGTATATACACATTGTGAGTCGGACTCGTGGTACTTTTGTTCTACTGAGCATGTTAATCAGCAAGAGGTCATACGAAAGAAGTCGTGAGTTCTGGTACGATTTCCAATTTATCTTAAAGATTGTGAGCAGTACTTGGAAACTATTTAACGGACACTGCAGTCTTGGTGCTACATTCAAAAACGCATGACCTTTCCGTCACAGAAATTCCCTTGGCAACTAAATTACATTTAACACTGACAAAAGCGACATGCGAATGCAGCGAGCCTTGTATGAAATTGAAGCTCAGCCGTTCATTACCGATGGTGATAATCTAGTCATGGTTTTGGAGGACGATTCTTGTGCATCTGTGATACTCTAACGCATTGGTTCCAACATTTCCGCACCCGTGGATCACACTGGCGATCTTCGAAATATTTTTGCGGACCACCACGCACAAATAATGTATTTCTCAAAATGAAAACTATTCACCAGCACCAAATTCCAGCAATCGGCAGATTCACTCAATAGCCCGCCGTGCTGCTGAATCATGATCAGCATCGAAATAGTTGCGCAATGGGCTGTAACAAAAAATACCCACAAATCATAGCGCTGTGTCTGCAACAGTTCCACGGACCACTTCCCACGAGCTTGCGGGGCCACGAGTGGTGCCACTATTCTCGAGTATATTTCCACCGATTTAAAGCTTTCGTGACTGCAGGGATTCATCTTCTTGGTTCTTTCGGTAAAGTCACGTAGAATAGAAATAATAACAATAAAACATAATAAAATAATTCTCACGACGTTTCGGCCACAACGCAAGCAGCCGTCCTCAGGTGGAGAGCAGACCTGTCTTCTCGACAGACCTGTCTTCTCGACAGACCTGCTCTCCACCTGAGGACGGCTGCTTGCGTTGTGGCCGAAACGTCGTGCGAATTATTTTATTATGTTTTATTTTTATTCTTTTATTATTTCCATTCTACGTGACTTTACCGAAAGAACCAAGAAGATATATTTCCACCGTAAGGTTTTTCATGATAGAAATCTACAGCGGTGCTGCTGATGTACAGCCAGGCTTCAACTCTGGGTCCCTACCCCCCTGAGCGTCTCTTCGTCCCTTTGGCTCTCGGCACCCAACCGCAGTGCCTGTGAGCCACGGCTGTTGTATTCGAATGCCCCGTGGGGTGAGACAGGCAGAGCTGAGTTGTCCTCTGCGTGCTATGCAAGTTGGCCTCCACACAATTTGCAGTAATGTCAGTTTCATTACCAGCAAAGCCTTGTTCTATTTCATATTGCTCATTTGCATTGCGGCGTCGGTTCCAGTTTAGGGGCGTGTGATGCCACTGAGGCTTGGTAATCTTTTGCGAGGCGTTAATGAAGGCTACTGTATGCGAAACATTTGTCACCGAAAGGCCCCGCGGTAATACTTGAGGGCATAAATATTTTGTGCCCACGTCACAGTCGTATTCCCAGGATATAAAATCAATAAATAAAATCAAGTTAAGTGAGTCCTGTGTCTCCTCACTCAAATTAACACTGGGGCCATTGCTCATCTCCTTTGGCGGCTCCAAGTCGGTGGTGGATATTCCGACGTACTAACGTGCAGAGGGATGCTGCCTTGGTCTAATGATTCGTACGCTGGATTTACAATCCAGAGGTTGCTGGTCTGGGTCGATCTCCCGGCAACAATGAGAAACGATGGACAATTGATCAAATCACTGGGGGGGGGGGGGGATGATGAACTTAATGTATGAACACTCATTCGTTGCCCAACATGCCAATATAGGACTACAGATCTTGGGCAATTGCTCGCGTTAGTTCTAGCTGCCTTCCCTCCACTCGTCTGTGGTTTCCTGCGCATCCGTGCAAGAAATTGCGTCCGTTACAAATTCGGCAGTGTTTTGAAATGCATTATGCATGAATGGCGTTGTATAAATAACAACGATTCAAATACTAACGAAATTCTGTCCTTATTACTACAATCTCAAATCGCATCATTGACTCACGCAACCACCGTCATTCACCAAACAGAATTACTTTCCGCTGCCTTGAGTCGGTTTGTGCAGCTCTCAGAAGCAGTTTTAAAGGCCAGTTTATAACAGCCATTCAATCAGAGTAACTGTCGATTGACCTGATTGATCAATAGTCTAATCAAATAAACGCAGCACCTTGTCAGTTTTTGTTGATGATGCTGATCAATCACAGCAGTTCCGTATTGGTCACAAGCCCTTCTCCTTTGGCACATTAACCAAACAATTGCACTTTGTCTAGCTGGAGAAGCAATTCAGCAGCCAGAGAACACACATTGTACAGGCTGGGAACAATTGTTATCGATGTGTGTGTGTGTCAGGGGCGGTTTCTTCATTAGGGCGATTGGGCGACGCACCACCAATGTCATTCAACCACAGAGTCACGCTAGCCGTCACTGTCAGCCTCTGGATATAGTCCAATCAGCGTCATGTCACGTTCTGTGGAGTACCGCCTCTTTTGGGGCGATTTCACTACGGCTGAGAATCGCCCCGAGTGGCACCATAGACTTACATTCAAAGATGTTTTTTTTCGAACGGGGGCGCTGCAATGCATTCTCTATGGCTTCCGGGAGGGCTCGCCCTAACGTGCTTACGTCATCATACGTGCTAACGTCATCATACGTAAGCACGTTTCATCCAACAATATAATTTATCGCTACCTAGTGGAATCTTTAATAAAATAAACTTGAGTGGTTTGTTTTAATAGTGAGTATATAAACAAACAAGATGTATTGTAAGAGTCACTTTATTTTTCATTAATATTAAAGAAGTGAAGTTGCCTTTACATGCTTAAGCTGTTAATTTATTCATTGCATGGGTGGACCTTATCCTTATCAATCATCCAGACATTTGCCCTCCCTGAGAGATTTTGCAGGAGCCGCCACTGGTGTGTGTATATACACGCACACAGCACAAAACGTTGTCGTCAATAGGAAAATATAGCAGGAATTTGACCATGCTTAGTACATCAAAGAAGACATCACTATATCATGTATATTTTATACACAACTTTGTTATGACCAGCTCAAACGCACTGAGTATCATGGCATGTTTGCTTACAGCAACAGATGAACACTACGACAGTTGTATACCAATGTCATCCTTATACTGGTAGGAACCTCCTGGTTACACCAGCCCACAGGGGATTCTTGTGTCCATCCATCCGTCGTGCAGGGAGGGGCTGGGTGGGGAGGGAGGGGCTGGGTGGGGGGTGGGAGGGGTGGGGCTGGGCGGGGAGGGGCTGGTCACCCCGTGGTGACCTTATAAAACTCAACGTTTAACCTACTCACGCCGGCTTGTGCCCGCCCTCACAGTCGGCCATATTTGCGGAATACACCACGCCGCCGTTGACCCTGCAGGCCATTGACCGAGCAACCCGACGTTCCTACCAGCTCCCTCCGCAGGAATGTGTTTGGCAATTGTCAGCACAGTATCGCCATCATTGCCTTCGGCCGCACTTTCTGTCCGAGGGGTTTATGTTGATGAGCCCCCCCATCGCCTCAACGCCCCCCCCCCCTCCCCATTACACTGTGTGGGGAACAAATTCAGCACACCGCTGCGTCGGCTTTCGCGGTCGTGCTGGACATCTCTCCGATGTGCTTTTCGCTCCGGCGTGCGGAGTACGTGTCGCAAACTCGCCGGACATCGTGCCGAACAACCCGAGAGCACGCCGATGAGCTACGCAGCAAGCCCAAGGGCAGACGCTGACAGAGGGAAAGCCCTCGTGGGGGGGGGGCATGGTTGTCATTCACATCTGTCCTAGGAGTCCCACAGAAGCCCTGCAACACACCGGTAGATGTCACGAGCCATGCCAAAGTCCCCGATCTTGGCGATGCGATCCGAGCCCTTGCTCGTGAGCAGGCAGTTCCTGGCCGCGATGTCCCTGTCGGCACATGCGCACACACACACACACCGTGGCAGAGTCTTTCGTTTTAATTACTGAAATCCGCACGAGAAAAGGCTAAAACGTACTGTGAACCTAATCACCGTTGGTGGTGTAGAGCCAAAAGTGGTAAGTGATTGACAGTTGAATTAGCAGAATGTAAGTTGTAATCGGGTGGTAAGACAGGAGTTTTGTGGTATGGAGTGTTGAAAGAGGACCGCAAAGTGCTCCATGTGGCGGGTCGGCAAGGAAACACTATTGGCACGGTGACACGAAGTGAGCTTAGCGAGTGGGTGAAGGGACAGCCAGAATTAACGCGAGTGAAGTGGGAAGAGCACAGACCGCTGACGCTCCGGTCGACGTGGCAAAGTGAGGCGAGGGGGCGACGGTGAGATCAAGAGACGAGACGTGCAGGGATGGATCGTCGATATGCGGAGAGGTTTTTATATTATTTGTTACTCTGCAATTGCCACGGGGTGATTAGCCATTCTCTACCATCGTGTTCCTGCAGATGTAGTCGCCATTGCTATTCTCACCGATTCCTTCTGCTTGAAGCAACCTCAAACCCAGAGCCTCTCGCTCCTCTCCCGACAATCTCCACACTCCGCCGTTCTTTCAGTCTCACTCGTTGACTCATCGTAATCCCTCTGCTCATCCGAGCAGATGTTACGTCATCATTATCTGTTACATTAGAGTCTTGCTGCGCTGCTACACGATGCCCCAGACAAAAATAACACCGCTTTTTTGTGCATTTAATTTTACAGACTTGTTTGAAAATGAATTTTGCACTCACAAGTTGGAATTTTTTTTTTTCAAATATCTATGTATTAATAATGTGTGCTGTAAGCAAGAAAGCATTGCAAAGTCTCTAGGACCCCTTTTCACATAAATCCTGCTTCGGATGTTTGGCCAATTAATGTTTTCGGATTTTTTCCACGTGATACGATACGAGAGTGCCCAGAGAGAAACCTATTTGCTGCCCTTTCATGTATAGGCCACCTCGTAGCCACCCTGTAGCCCTCTTGATGGAAAAAAAAACATTGTCTCCCTGGCTCTCGTTTTCGAGTCAAGTGATCATTCTCTCGAGGCCCAATGAGTCACGAAGCCAATCAGCCAGATGTGCCACCTCCCACCAGCAATGCGATTAAAACTACGTATCACTGTAACCCGATTGCTTAACATGTGCTCCGTTCCCAGCGTGCAGTCATACTGTTTCCGCTTGGGGAGCAGGGTGATAATGCTCGTACCGTGCAGCAAGAAGGGCCTGAGTTCGATTCCCGACTCGTACGGAGTTTGCATTTTCTATCGCCGCTGAATGGACTCCCCACAGAGTGTTTCTCGTGGTGGTTGTGTGACCATACTTCACCACACTGGTCAATTCAGGGTTGGTGAAGCGAGGAACCCCTGGTCGAGTTTATATCCCACTCGCGTCCGATATTAGGCATGGCCAGGATTTCAACTCATTTCGCTGGGTTTATGACGTAGTATGTGAATCACTTAGCTCCTGCTCTGCCCCTATAGTGATGGTGGAGAGTTTCAGAATGATGGTACATTTCATATTAACAAAGGCAGTGATCTATTTACTTATGGTGGCAAATGTCGAGATGGCGATTGTGCTCCATGTTTTCCACAGTATTTCGTCTCCCCCTCTGATTATCACCGACTGCCTTCACCCTTCCCATATCTTTTGTTCTGTCCATGCCACACTCTCAACCTTTCCTTTTCTCTGTCCACATTATCGCTTAGCCCCTTTCCCCATCCTTTCATTCGTATCTACTATGCTGACCCGTGGCTGTGCCATTTGGAACTTGACCATATACAGTTTTGTTTTTGATTTTGTTTATTTTTCTTGCTGTAACCAGTTTTCTGTAACAGGAAATTGCCATGTATTCCCCAATAGGCTTTACCTCTTCCAAAATCAAAACGCAACCCTCATATTTCCTTTTCACATACCACCTATATCCTTGAACAGGGTAATGCAATGTTCCGTCATTTTAATGCTTTTGTATATTGCATTTTCATCAGTGGGTGCTCACCACCCTTTGAGATGCCTGTCACGGTGAGCCCCTACCTGTGTATGAAGTGGTTATCCTCCAGGTACTGGGAGCCGCACGCGATGTCCTTGGCCATGGTGAGCAGATCCAGCATGACAAGCGAGGAGCTGCGGCCCTGGGGCACACATCCAACAGTGGAGGGTGGTGATGCAATGGCCCCGCGTGACGCAGTCGAGCCACTGCAAGTTTATATGACAAGTGTACCTCAAAAGGGGAATTCCATCAAGGCCAATTGAGGTTTTTGAAAGAGGTCCCCGTTATTATCCCTTCATAGCAAGAGGAACCAAACTGATTGTTAATAACCGCTGGGGCTTCTCCCTTGTCTGCCGATGGAGAAGGGTCTTGGCAAGGATTTTAGCAACAAGGATGGCCCTGTTTGGCTCTTAAGAGAGTTGAGGGTAACGCTGTTGATGGAGCAACTGTTATGGCTGGAAAGGCACACAAAGGGAGGTGGTGTGGCTGCCACTACGCCCAAGCATCTTTGTCTCGCCAGCACTGACATATTACACACTGCACCAGGTACACAATTGAAGCCGAGTTAATCTCGGGGAGTCCATGGACAGGGTTTAAATGCCACTCTCTGTTGGTGATATGCATGGCAGGAAATAAAACTCAGGTCACCGTGTTTGTAGCTCGGTGCGATAACCGTTGCTCCACCACTCCCCCAAAAAGACCGAGATCCCCCGTGTAGCCTCTACAAACTCTTAGGGCAAGTGCTGTTAGCAAGCACCCATTAAGGCCAGCAATGGTGCACGAGGTGCTGATGTAGCCAACACGACGCCCGGCTGCCTCTGTCTTCCCAATGCTGACGATTACACCGTGCACCAGCTGCTGAGTCAACCTAGGCGAGGCCCAGGACCAGTGGAGATAATCTCCACTGATGTTCGCTGTGGCCTAGGAATCGAACCTGAGGAATCGCAATCGCTGCACCGCCGTTCCTCCCACAGCCGCAAAACACTTTCTGGGCCCTGCACATACCGCCCTGGGCCGTTCCTCTCGCAGATAAGTCTTCATGTCTCCGCCGGCCATGAGCTCGAGCAGAATGAAGCGCGGCAGGGTCTGCAGGCTGACCCCAACGCAGCGCACGATGTTGTGGTGGTTGAACTTACTGTCGGAACGAGACGCAGACGGCCATTACCATCATGCACGAAACAAGAGAAGTACATTTGTTGACAAAGATCAATAATTCATCAAACGATCTGGGTCCTGCTCGAATTTTTGCATTGGATGGCACTCATCTCCAAGGTCCTCATCCAGCAGTGGAGATTAAACATTCGTATAGCAGGGATGTCGTAGGACAACTACATTGACTTCCTGCAAAGCGGTATTCGGTTTGTTCTCCGACGCATGCTGTTCAGCATGACGTCCAATGAAAGAGACTCCCGGCACATGCAGAAAAATATTGGAGATGATGCCGAACTACACACGACACAACCTAATAACAAGGGCAAGGGGACGCAGCACAAGCGCGGACACCTACACGGGCGAATTCATTATGGGGTCCTCAACCCATCACTTTCCTACTGCGAGGTATGTGCTCGAACTGCAGCGCTTCCCAATCAATAAGTCTCGGCTCGAGAGTAAAACTAAATTGATACAAATGAGAACCTGGGGGTAAACTCAAGCAGGGTCCGGGTGTTAAAGCCAGCATCGTTAGAGGGGATCGCTTATAACTGCCAACACAATCATTTCTCTCCCGAGCTACACGGCCACGTTTCCTGTTGTGTGATGATGCCTCAATTTTTTTTTGTCATTGTTTTCAAAAACATAAGGCTGCGTTCACATCCGCTGCTGAGAATGTAATTGTAAACTTTAATGAGGCTGAGCAGAAAGATCATTCTTTATCTGAGTCGCACTGTATTTGGAGCATCCCAGGAACACATCGGTTACCATTATGCAGTCGGTGACTTTTCGGATGTTTTTTTTATAGCACCCAAACTGACGAGAGCCAAGTGAAATATTTACGCGATCAAACCCAGAAACAAATCTATATTATGGATGATATTGGTGGCTAAAGCCTACGTGTTAAACTGGCATCACATACCAACCTTAAGCACATTTTGTCAGGATGACATTGAGTACAAATGTCAGTTGGGAAGAACCCACACGCTTCCATATGAATTTATTTTATGCGGTCTGAGTTACTCGTTGCACTTTTATAATGGTATATAATACTACAGTGGTTATCCTATAGGTGGACTGGCTCCCGCCAATGTAATGTAGAATTTCCTCCACTGATTCAGTAATGCCAATGAGGAATGAGTGTCCTATTGCTCATTGGAGCCAGTATACAGTTTGACTGACTTTTGATATAAAAAATACTGCATTCTGTAGCTTGCAGATTATAAAGACAGTAAAAAGTCCCGTGTGTTTTACATTTGTTTTAGCCATTGATGTACAAAAATAATTCAGCCCATTGTTTCTAAAATGAGTTCCTTCCTGCGAGAAGACAACAGCGAGATTGGTTGCCACTGTACGAATATGGAATTGACACCAATGCCTTGAGATTTGCCAATAAAAGACAAGCACCACCAACTTCTAGCTTGATCATGCAGACATTGTTACTTTGCAATGTTTTGGCTTCTAAAAAATTGAGTTCGTCATTTGTCAGAGGGTCCAGGGAATGTTTTTGAATATCAAGAGGTCACTACTGTCAATGTTGTTGATGCCACCACAACCTGGCACTGCATCTGGGAGGTCCCATAACTCTTGTACAGCTGACACCTCCGAGGTCTGCTCTTATGGCATTCCACCAGCTGGGCTTCAGGCTTCCTGTGGGTTGCTGACCTTTGGATGTCGTTCCCATAATTAGGCCTCCTCCATATTATACATGTGCACTACCTGCCACAGCTTCTCTTCATTATTATTTCTACGGTACTTACCTTTCATATTTTATTCCTAACTTCCAAATTGCATTCCCTGTCGTACCGTGACTTTACTAGAATCATGGTTTCCCTATATATATAATGATAAACATCTCCGGAATAGCCTTCACCAGACTGTTCGTGCTGTTAGCAAGTGCCTATGATATGGTGGGGAGCGGTAGTGTAGCGGTTAGCGCTGCGCTACGCTACGAACCCGGCGACCCGAGTTCAATTCCCGCTCATGGCCAACACCAGTGACGATTATTTGAACCGGTCCTGGGCCTCCCCTAGGTTGACTCAGCCTCAAATGAGTACCTGGTGCCGTGTGTGAACATCGCCACTGGGGAGACAAGGGCGGCCAGGCGTGCTGCTGGCCACCCACCCCCCTCGTGTGCCGTGTTGGCCTTCATAGGTGCTCGCTAACTGCACTTGCCCCTACAGCCTGTTAAGGCTATATCGGGGATCTTTGTCTTTTTATCCAACACCACATCTGGCAGCCTTTGTCTCCCCAGTGCTGATAGTTACACACCGTACCAGCTACTGATTTAAGCCTGAGTTGACCCAGCGGAGGCCCAGGACCAGTTCAGATATTCATTGCGTCCTCTTCTTTCGTGTGGCTGATGTTGGTGCACAGCAACAACTACAATTTCCCATTCAGGTGGTCAAGCCAGATAATGGCGTCAGCAGTAGCGGAGTGCATCGCTGCAAAGTGTTCTTCGTATTTGTGAATCGGGCATTGTGTCGTTATACGTTGCATGGCCTATTTTGGATGACCACAGTCGCACACCGCAGAGTTTCTACATTTTACAGTTGTGCATCAGGTATCCGCATCTGCCATGGTTTGGGCAGTGCATGTGGTTTAGGGTGGACGATGCGCTTCATGGACGATCAAACCCAGGGATCTTCTCCTTTGGGTCTTTCACGAGGTGTTTGTGAGTTCTTTTGAACTCCATTCAGCTCTCCAAGCTCATCACTGATGTTGGCTGTTCGCAGAAATCCAACTCAGGTAGCTTTTTTGCAGCACAGTGCGCTAACCACTGCAGCACCGTTCCCCATCGCTCCCCACATACACACAGTGCGATAATACAAAGAATATCCACAGTCATTCAGTTTATTCATCTCTTCTGGGAGTTGAACTATGCCTCCAGCTGACTTTCAGAACCATGGACAGCTCCACATGCTGAAGGACATTCCACAGAAATGATAATGATGTTACTGCGTCTCAGTCCTAATGAGCCCTGCCAATGTGTGGATAAAGAATAGTGTATGTACAATATATTGATTACATATTTCGTTATTTTATCATGTCTTAGTCAGGTGGCACTGTGAAAGAACAGTCAACTCACAGTACGAAAGTTACAAGTAAAAATCTGGGCCGATGTCCATTCAACCCATCGTGCCTCCAGAGTAGATAATATGAGTGCCACTTTGTTGACAGTCACCGGAAGACACCATCTGGTGATACTGGTTCCTGTAATGGGAATGTAGAATTGCTACCACTAACTTAGAGGCTGCCACCAAAATGCTTGTTTGAGCATGGCATACTTAAAAATATATGATATTAGCTTTTTTTATTTATCAATAGACGATTAATTTATGTATATATGTGATCCTAATTGAATTATTTTTTCATCTCTCGTTATCTCAGCAGGGTTCGCTAAGCCAGATTGGCTGAAATGTAATTTAGAAAAAAAAATTCACCCCCGCTTTGTGCTCATTAAAAGCTCATTAGCCAAGATGGGATTTTTGTTTGGTTTTGCGACGTGGGTGTTGTAATAACAGAGTGACAAACCTTCCTAATCCTGTGCCCGATAAATGAGGCAACTACACGACTGAGCGGGGGACGCCACTGCCTCTCCCCTTCCACACATTTGTTATTGCACAAAGCGATCAAACTGTTTAGCTCGTGCACGCATCCATCATTTACAAATCGAGTCAATATCCAGAAAAGTCGTGGTGTGCAGGCGAGTGGACAATCGCAGAGTGATAAGGTTAAAATACCGGGTGGGAGTCAATTAATTATCCATCATCCATCTGTGGTAGATACTATTACTGTACAGTATTACCATTTGAGGGCAGTCCCGTAACAGGATTGTGGGATTGACACCAATAAACGTGTCCGTTTTCTTGGCAGAGGGCAGTCTACATTGGTTGTTCACGAGGTTGCCTTGATCAGCTGAGGCGGCTTTAATCCAAAGCTGAACAAATAACCAACATTAACTTGAGTTCATCAAAGCTCTCCACATCACCCCCTCTTGCTCCTCCACCATCAACCATATCTCTGTTTGCCGAACGCAGTCTTCTTACTTTGAAGTGCACACAGTAGGCAAACGATGTGTATGTGTGCGCATGAGCATTTGGGTGCGAGTATGTCTGTTTGTGTGTGTATACGTGTCAACTCTGACCTGATGATCAGAGCCTCCATGAGGAAGTCCAGCTCGTCCTGTTCCGAGCAAATCTCGGGCAGTGTCTGTGAAACGACATTCGTTTCGCCCATGTTAAGCCCCCACGCTCAGCCACAGGCTACACGCTAGTACCTTACATTTTAGTTTGTTGGCCTTCGATGAGCACGGTTGGCTACGTACGGTGCGAAAGAAGTTCAACATACATACACTCACACAGAGAGTCGGTTAACACGCAATTAACGCATAGCCTGGTTGATTACGTTCTTCCAAAGATTGCTAAATTTGCTTTCTCAAACTTCCTATTTTCTTGCTCTAAATATTGCCGTGCTGGTTTGTTTAGAGTCCATTGTCTCTCCTCCGGCCACTATGGTCCAGAATTTCAGACAACTCTCTCATTGTCCTCTGCCCCTTCCTCTCTCTCTGTCCCAACCCCTCCCCCCTCTCTCGATTTAAGGTCTCAACACAGTGGCGCTGTCTTTCTGTTTGTCGTCATTCTTTGGAGGAGCGTGGTCAGCCAGATGGCATGTTGCCTGTTGTGTTGGCCGGCTCTCTGTGTGGTGTTGCATTGTGTTTTTAAGTTCACTATGTTTGTGTTTTTTCTCATTCATTCTTACCTGACGATGGTTGCTTGTATTGCAATCGAAACGTCGTAATTCTATTATTATTTGATTTGATTTTCTATCTGACTTTACCGAAAGAACCAAAGAGTAAACTGAACTACTGCACTATCATTGTATTAAAACGATGAAACTACCCGCGAACTGAGTCACTCCACGACCTACTGCTTGTGCACTAGTGTCCATTTCAAGGTTACATCATCAGCATAACCAGCATTTACATCACTCTGCTCGAAGGGAGAATGTTATTGGTGTCTTTCAGCAATATCGAAAGGGTGATTCCTCACAGTTGGGATCATCGCTTATTTGCTTCTTCTCATCATTGCTGGAGGGTGGCTGCCACCATCTGCCCCAGCAGTCCCTTTGATTGGCCCCTTCCAAACCCGACACTGCCGATACAAGCCAAAAGGCAGGTCCACTCAACTCCCAAGTCCTTTTGTGCCACATCTGAAAAGTCCCATCACGAGCCTCACACACACAGACACACACGCGCACACGCGTGCTTGTACTCAACTGGAAAGTACGGTTGCCATGACCCTACCTTGACGGCCACCTGGAGAGGACTTGGCTCAATGCCGGTCACGCGCCCCTCGTACACTTCGCCAAATGCACCGTGGCCCAAAGCCCTGCTCACCGCCACAAAGGGGAAGCATCGTTCTTGGCGACCGGTTCATTGTACAACACAACCCATTCGCACGTTGATAATAATAACGACCAAAGCAGTCAAAGTGTCTTCTGACTCATAACAAGCATTTATTGAGCAGTGCACCGATGACTGCCCTGGACCCAGGATGAACATTTCACATTTATATGGCAGGGCTAGTCTATTCATCACATGCCCATTGTTGACTCCCTAAAAAATGGTACTGATTTTATCATTATCTCGTGAATGGATGATCCCCGACTGGTATTTTAAATAGTGACACATGGTATTCTAATCATAATGTTTACAGTATGTGAAAGTGATGATTATATCTTTACTGTATATGTATTTTTTTAATGATGCTAAAGGAAATGTCTTATATTAATGCTGGATGAGATGATTGTGATGTTCGTGTGTCCGTGCATGAGGTCGTGTGTAAGCATCGCCACCGGGGGACACAGAGGCCGCCCGGCAGTGTTGCTGGCCGCCCACCCCCTCGTGTACAGTGCCGGCCTTCATCGGTGCTACTCGCTAACAGCACTCGCTCCCACAATCTGCTAAATGCCACACAGATAATCTTTGTCCTTGTGCGTGCATGCATGTGCACCTTCTTAATGTGACGTGCAGCAACGTGTGCATGCGCGTGTCAACTTTCACTGCCACACAAATCAAAAACAATAACCACAAATGTGAATCTCCCCTCGTCTCGGGATGCACACAAAGTGAACCCATCGGTCACTCCGTGCCCTATCACTCGCCGCACACTGCCTCTGCCATTTGTCTTCTTCTTCTTCTTGGCCACACGGCCATCGATCGTTCACTCAAATCGCCCACTCAGGGGCACGGGTGGGGTGGGCCGGTGGTGGGACCGAGAGCCGAGACATCGGCAGCCGTCCACGCTGGGTGGCCTCTGTTGGCGTCGCGCGACAGGAGCCTGCGTGGAGCGACTCGACGAGTCGCCGACACCTCGCTCACCCTGCGCTTTTGGAGGCTGACGCGGTGAGAGTGGCTCGAACGACGCGCATTTGACTTAAAGTGGTGGCGTTGGAGCGCGTGATCTTCTCACCGTCTACACGCGGAGGGCGCATAAAAAAAAAGCATCGATGCGCATTGTTTTCGCCCGTGTGTGCTGCCCGAACGAGGGCGCTTCTGTGCGTACGACGGGTGCATCGGTGCTTTTTGTTGCGTGTGCAGAGCGTGCACGGCAAGATTAGTTCCTGGGCCTCCCCTAGGTCGGCTCAGCCTTAAACGAGTACCTAGTGCGGTGTGTAAATATCAGCACTGGGGAGACAAAGGCGGTCGGGCGCGACGCTCGCCATCCACCCCATCGCGTGCCTTGCCGACCTTCATAGGTGCTCGCCGAAAGCACTTGCCCCAACAGTCTTGAAAAAGGGCTATACGGGGGATGTTTGTCTTTGTAGGCAGCCACCGAGTGTGCTTGCACGCATTGCCCAGTGAATCCGCTCGAGCGGGCGGGCGTGCGTGAACGGCGTGGCACACACCTGAGCAGGTTGATGTTCCTTCGGGGAACCTCCTTGAGGTCACTGAGAGCGGCGGGCGAGCCGGCGAAGCAGTAGTTGGGGTTGTAGTCGGTCATGATGGTGGAGGTGCGGATCTTGCTCAGTTTGTAATCTGGGCTCAGCAACTCCATGCGCACGGCCTGCAGCTGCGCCTGCTTGCGCCGGTACACTACGCAGCACGGTACACCACGTGTTGTCAGGCAGTGTCGCTCGCATTCATCATCAGCAGTGGCATCACCTTATCATCATCATTATCAACAAGTAGCAGCAACATTAAAAAATATATATGTTTCCCTGTTCAATTGAACGTTTGGAGGTGCACATATTTATTGGCAGTCCTATGACATTTCGATTTCAAGCTTTCGTGACTGCAGGGATTCATCTTCTTGGTTCTTTCGGTGAAAGTCACGTAGAAGGGAGATAATAAAATAATAAAAATAAAACATAATAAAATTATACATTATTATCATGTTACATTATTATTATGTTTTATTTTTATTATTTTATTATCTCCCTTCTACGTGACTTTACCGAAAGAACCAAGACGATGAGTCCTATAACAATTCCAGAAATTCCAACTTGCGATGGCAAAGAATACTGTCAATATCGGGCATGCGCTGTTGATTCCCAAAAAGTGGTACACATTTTATGGAGCTGAGATAATGGTCTGAGTGTCTGTCCAGGATTGAACTCCTCTACTTCTGACTGTGAGGCAAGTGCTCTAACTTAGATGAGCGTTTACATTTACCACAAATTATATGAGTGTCAGGACACTTTTGTTTAAGGGGATTCCATAAATTTGTACGTCAGTGTTTAGCGAGTGGGAGGAAACTAGCACACCCGTGGAGAAGTCCACGCGTACACTGGTGACTTCACTCGCAAACGCTCACGGACAAGCCAGGAACCAACTGGCCGTACTTCAATCTCCCGAAGGGCATCTTCGTCATCCCTGCAGGCCGTGGTCTGATTTCAATTCGCCCCCAGAGCACCGACTACGTAAATGTCAAATTGGGTCGAAGCAGGGGGTCATGGTGCTGGGGACGTCATTTGCATCCGGCCCTCAGGCGAGAGTGGTGTTAAAATAACTTTCTGCGGATTCTCGAGTCGTCATCGATCCCGGCAGCTCCCCGTAGCGGCGCAGTCTCACCGTACTTGAAGCACAGGAAGTGAGCCTCTTAATTTGACCGGCGCAAAAAACACGCGCATTGTTAATCCGCTGGGTTTTAGCCTCCCTGTCAAGATCGCTCACGACCTTTGCTACGTGCTAATGTGTGTACGTACGTTGAACTTATTTCGCACCGTATGTAGCCAACCGTGCTAATTGGAGGTGCGGGTGGAAGGACTACAAACTAAACACAAAAAGCAGTTTGAAAGAAATTAGTTTTCAATCTCGATTTAAAGGTGCACAACCTCCAGTGCCTTCCTTAATATCGGAAGGAAGCGCGTTCTAGACGGCCGCAGAAGTGCATGTGAAAGCGCGCGATGCAGTGACCGTCTTCTTTCGATGGCCAGCCAAAGGTTGCTGCTGACCGGAGTTCACGTGATGATTTATGCTCCCTGACGAGACCAGCAAGGTACCGTGGTTCATTTGTGGCAAGCACTCTGTGTGTAATGAGTTCGACCTTATGATGCATTCGTTTGGCAAACGGAAGCCAGTGCAGCTTGGCGAGCACTGGATGGGTCACGTGATTCCAGATTTGGGAAGCGGCTGCACACACTGGGCGAGTACTCACGTCAAGTGCAAGCCGGGAGCTGAGATTGGCACTTTTATAGAATCACTGGCAAAATCTTTGAAAGAAAAAACAAAACAAATCCTTCATAAATTGGGCCTTGCTGACGTAGTTTTTGTTTTGCGTTAGTACTTTGTGAAACGGCTCAGTTGACTAATGACACTCACTCTGGATGAAGGGCTTCAAATCATGATCACGGTCTTTTCACCAAGCAGCGGTGTGGCCTTTTTGGTCTCTTTAAAATGTAGTTCTACTCTTAACAGTTGCTGAGACATGTTTTGGCCATTCAGATTATGTTTGATTTCCCATGAAGGTAACAAAAGTCAAAGGTTTCTCTCCCCACTATGATAAGCATTGGGTGGCTCTAATTGGCACTGACAGTACTGAACTAGCATTGAACATGCTAGATTCCTACAGCAGGGGCTATTCTGCCATTAGGTCGTCCAATATCCATGTCTCACAAAGCAGTGGAGGAGGAATGATGGGCTGTTGTCAACTCACCACCCACGATTAGAACAAGCTGTCTAATCACAGCACCACGGGTAGCAGGTTTGCAAACAGAGCTGAGGGAATATTGATTTGTGGGGGTGAAGCCTGAACGCAGCGCAACCATGAAACTTATTCCAGACATGGGGGAAAAACGATACATCAATATTGATGACTTAATGGGACTAATTGGCGTAGGCTGTTTCCCGGTATTAACACACAGCATCGGTAATCATCGATGGAATCGCCTCTTGAATTTGACAGCCGCAGTGATAGAGATCCTGTACCGACCGGCCTTGGCTGTGCTTGAGAATGAGAGTCTCTTCATTCGCTGACCACAAGAGCGTTCTGCAGAGCTCTTGAAAGTTTGAGTAATCTCATGACGCATTTGCCAGGTGCATGGATGTTATTGGTTACATTCTACTGAGCAAATATTCCGCATGTCGGTGTTTTTGGAAAAAAATGTTGCGCGCTAAATGCGAGACTTTAAAAAAATATAAAGACAGGACAGAACTACATTTAAACAAAGGGAATTGTGATTTTAATAATTATTATGCACAAATTAACTGCTGGAATACTACGGTCTTTACAGCTCCTTAAGTTTCATAAAAGTGTAGTAGAGTTACCCACTCGATATTCACAAACAGGGAGAGCTAATCGTTGACAAGGGTTTCCCGCTCAAACTAACGGTCAGGGTCTCACAAGTTGTGAGAGCTGACCGTAAACAAGGTTTTCCCGCGCGACCTAACGGTCAGGGTCAGATAGGGTAAATTGGGATCGAAAAGCAGATTGGGAACGACCAATCACAGGGTTCCACAAGGTGGCCGGGGATTGGACAACCCGGCCACGAACGAGTATAAAGCCAGAACGCTCAGAGCTCTCGGGGAGTTCGACGACACGAAGACCCAAGACGGCGGAAGAAGCATAGGACCCTGGACCAAGCCCTCCAGCCCTTATAAGGGCTAGGGTTCAGAGTAACCAGTGGTCAGGGAGACATCTCCCTAGGTCCAGTCAGAGGACACTGAAGGAGCGGGGTATGAGTAGCCTGTAGGCTTGTACGTTCGGAGTGTAACGGGTGAGGGGACCGTATACCCCTCGGTGCATAGGGACTGTATTCACAAATAAAGTGTGTGCTACTAAAAGACGTTGAAGAGTCTGTCTGTACAATACTACAAAAGCAAAAATATTTACACACAGTATTAAAAATAAATGAATTGGATAAAATTACTCAAATGTCAATGGCTCAAACCTGGAAAAGCAGTTGCGAGTAGCAACATCATCAATACCAACTAACATCACACGCCTCGCCAAAGAGAAGCGGTTCCAGCCATCACATAAGGGGTGAGTTAATCAAATATTTGACCAAATATAACGGGCTAATTTTTAAGTTGATAATTTTGTATGGCCCGCGAATGATGTTATAAATATCCAAATGGCCCTTGGCAAAAAAAAGCTTCCCCACCCCTGTGTTAGAGTGAGGACAAATAGTAGCCATTACAGATCACACCTATACAGTGCTGGATATATCATTGTTTATTTTATGAGGTTACATCCAAATTATCTCCTGCAATGTTAATGGCGACAATAGCAATCGTAACAGTATATAAAGCAAGCCTGTTTCTTTTACTTTTAAAATACCAAATACGCGAATATGCATTTGCCACTTGTCAAATAAAATAATAAGTGCGCTTGGTGTTTGTGTCATTCTCATAGCGCAAGGATATCGCGTGCGCGCTGTGATTCACACACAGCCGTCTGCAGCCATTTCACAGCAGAGGGCAATATTACGTACAGTGAGGGAAAAAAGTATTTGATCCCCTGCTGATTTTGTACGTTTGCCCACTGACAAAGAAATGATCAGTGTATAATTTTAATGGTAGGTTTATTTGAACAGTGAGAGACAGAATAACAACAACAAAATCAAGAAAAACGCATGTAAAAAATGTTATAAATTGATTTGCATTTTAACGAGGGAAATAAGTATTTGACCCCTCTACAAAACATGACTTAGTACTTGGTGGCAAAACCCTTGTTGGCAATCACAGAGGTCAGACGTTTCTTGTAGTTGGTCACCAGGTTTGCACACATCTCAGGAGGGATTTTGTCCCACTCCTCTTTGCAGATCTTCTGCAAGTCATTAAGATTTCGAGGCTGACGTTTGGCAACTCGAACCTTCAGCTCCACAGATTTTCTATGGGATTAAGGTCTGGAGACTGGCTAGGCCACTCCAGGACCTTAATGTGCTTCTTCTTGAGCCACTCCTTTGTTGCCTTGGCCGTGTGTTTTGGGTCATTCTCATGCTGGAATGTCCATCCACGACCCATTTTCAATGCCCTGGCTGAGGGGAGGAGGTTCTCACCCAAGATTTGACGGTACATGGCCCCGTCCATCGTCCCTTTGATGCGGTGAAGTTGTCCTATCCCCTTAGCAGAAAAAACACCCCCAAAGCATAATGTTTTCACCTCCATGTTTGACGGTGGGGATGGTGTTCTTGGGGTCATAGGCAGCATTCTTCCTCCTCCAAACACGGCGAGTTGAGTTTATGCCAAAGAGCTCCATTTTGGTCTCATCTGACCACAACACTTTCACCCAGTTGTCCTCTGAATCATTCAGATGTTCATTGGCAATCTTCAGACGGGCATGTATATGTGTTTTCCTGAGCAGGGGGACCTTGCGGGCGCTGCAGGATTTCAGTCCTTTACGGCGTAGTGTGTTACCAACTGCTTTCTTGGTGACTATGGTCCCAGCTGCCTTGAGATCATTGACAAGATCCTCCCGTGTAGTTCTGGGCTGATTCCTCACCGTTTTCATGATCATTGCAACTCCACGAGGTGAGATTTTGCATGGAGCCCCAGGCCGAGGGAGATTGACAGTTCTTTTGTGTTTCTTCCATTTGCGAATAATCGCACCAACTCTTGTCACCTTCTCACCAAGCTGCTTGGCGATGGTCTTGTAGCCCATTTCAGCCTTGTGGAGGTCTACAAACTTGTCCCTGACATCCTTGGAGAGCTATTTGGTTTTGGCCATGGTGGAGAGTTTGGAATCTGATTGATTGATTGTTTCTGTGAACAGGTGTCTTTTATACAGGTCACAAGCTGAGATTAGGAGCACTCCCTTTTAGAGTGTGCTCACAATCTCAGCTCGTTACATGTATTAAAGACACCTGGGAGCCAGAAATGTTTCTGATTGAGAGGGGGTCAAATACTTATTTCCCTCATAAAAATGCAAATCAATTTATAACATTTTTGATATGCGTTTTTCTGGATTTTGTTGTTGTAATTCTGTCTCTCACTGTTCAAATAAACCTACCATTAAAATTATAGACTGATCATTTCTTTGTCAGTGGGCAAACGTACAAAATCAGCAGGGGATCAAATACTTTTTTCCCTCACTGTACGTATGTTCAACTTCTTTCGCACCGTATGTAGCCAACCGTGAGGGGGGAAGGACAACAATGAACATGGAGCTTTAACCAGCTAGGTAACGTGCAAGTCATCTTTCAAGTCTGGTAAATTTGGACCATGATGCCGGCACACCTGGCCGGCTGTCTTTCGAAAGTTGACGTCACGCGATGTTCTTTTCTACGCGCATCGTGAAGCAGGCGGCGACTCGTGCGATTGGTAAATAGTCCTGCTGTCCGCACTTTTAACCCCGGGCGATGGAAGCAACGAGAGCGACGACCACTTTACGAACTCCGTTGCACCTCCGATTTAGCGCGGTTTGGGCTACGTACGGTGCGAAAGAAGTTCAACACACATACATACATCTGTCTGCGGGAGGGAAAGGTGGCGATAGCGTTCGTCCGCGCTCTCTCACCGATCATGATGGCCGAGCAGGTGAGGACGAGCACGGCGGCCGTTGCCAGTGTCACCACGGACAGCGCCAGCGACAGGGGCATGCCGGCGTGCTGGGATGGGTCATTTTCTGCACACGAAGCGGCACCCACGATGCCGCCACAACGGCAACGACGACGACAATTTGAATGTACGCACCATCTCATGAGAGCCAGGATACAGCTGCACTCTCACACGGCTGCAACTGTCGCAAGGAATGCCACGTGCAGTCAAAGGTCGGGTAGCCTTCAAGTGACCTCATTTATCTACACTGCTCAAGTATGCTGCATTCTCCTACACACACAAATATATATATAAATTAATGTGAAATATATGGGAATCAAAGCAATATTTTATATTCTGGAACTTTGTGAAATTAGGTCAGACAACTTAATAGAATACGATAATATTTTCGGTGAAGTCTTGGCAACCATCAGCTTTCCACACTCGAGAACCTGGTTTAAAAATGTGTGACTTTCCCTGGTGCTGAATTTGTGCTTTGACCTCAGCGTCGCAAGCGCAATGAGCTACGTAGCCACCTCGGGTTTGTGTTACTTTGACTTAGAGCGTACACAGCTTCTTGAGCTGTGCTTACATTCATACACGACACAAAGCAGTATGTTCTGCATTGTGCATGCACACAACTGCTATTGTCGCGCTGTAGCCACGCTGAATTCAATAATCATATTCATAATTACAGATTTACCCGGGAAATCCCCACCGAGTCAGAAGACTTTTTCAGGAGGGTCCTGCATTGGGATGTCTGGCCAACGTACATCGCATTTTACGTTCGTAGCTATGTGAGGAAACCGAAGATCATGCAGGAACCCCATGCAGAATAAGGGGGAGACCTTACAAACCCCATGCATAATACTCAACACACCGGTGGGCAGAAGTAGTAACTAATTGGCAAGCTTTGTTTACGTGACAAGCCTTACTGGTTGGCTGTGTAGGGTGCTGGCGGGTTAACGACACATTTTTACTTACGCGATCTCACCCAAAACCCTTTATTATGAATAATATTGGTCGCGAAAGCCCGCTACGTGTCAAACAAACTCCGTGCAGAAAGACGCCCAAGTCAGGAAATCGAAGCCAAGTTTGTCGCTGCTGTGAGACAACGGGCGCCACCGCCGCGCTGCCACCCTGCCAACGTCGCGTTGTGGCGTAAGAAGGTGGCGGCGGTGGCGGCGGCACGCACCTCGCGGTGGCCGGGTCGTGACGGAACAGGAGAAGCCGTCGCTGGCGAGCACGCCCTCCTGGCAGTGGCACACGATGCTGTCGTGCTCGTCCGAGTCGCGCTTGCACAACTTGGACTCGCAGTGGCTGCAGTTGAGGTACTCCTCCACCACCACCTCGCCGTCCCTCTCCATTACTAGTGGGGGGGGGGGGGGGGGGGAGTACGGTCAGGCGGGCAGAGAGACAGGGGCCGGTAGAGGACGCGGAAAATGTGATGGGTCGATGGCGGGCGCGCAGAATCAGTGCCGAGGGCGGAGGAGAGGGGCGGAGAGGTAAACGACGGCGGAGAAAGAAGGAACCGGGTGTGGGGGAAATGTCTCGAGATGAATCGGAGGAAAGTAGTGGAGACGTGATGTGTGCAAAGGGAGGGTGAGAGATGGAGAGGTCGGGCGGAAAGAGAGATGGAAAAAAAAGACAAAGCGTGATGCGGAGATGAAAAGATAAAAAGGTGAACTACAAAGAGTTATCCAAACTTGCATAAATTCAATTATAAATGAATTACTTTTTCATTATCAGGGCTGATATTAAGGAGAGCACGCTTTCAATATGTTAAAAGCCTATGACTAATTTTATCATTGAAATGTTTTATTAATATATTTTTTCTAAAATGCAGAGAACATATTTTATTTTATTCCAGAGAATGCACGTGTGAGCTTCAATTAAAATTCCAGCGTTAATTGATTCCAGTTGGTAGTGAATTCCCCGTAAAGGTCGTCTGCCTTGCCAGTAATTGGCACCACCATGGATAAAGGAAATGCCTCCTTGCCTCTTCAGCTTCACTGGACCCCAACCACAGCAAATGTGAAGCTCTTCGCTTAACTAAAATAACGATGTGATCTCCTGTATTTGGGTGGGATAGTGGCATAGTACACACGACTCATGTTTCAAAGGTTTAGGACGTCGAAGTGTGGTTGGGGATCAACTCGGCCCACGTGTCCATGGGGTCGCGAGGATGAACATAGCCCCGTGGGTGGGTGAGACTGGCCCTTGCCTCAGGGAGAGGACAGCCCCATGCTTGTTTGAACAATGGAGACTCCGTGGCTTTCATTTGAAATGTATAACCTAGAGCTGACGGATCTTGCCACATAGGTGCCACCAATTAAGAAGATAGTGTTGAACGTGTAGGACTTGAAATATCACGCGCCACGCGTTCTGTTGCTATGCAAGCGAGCAGCGTACAGTGGGGGCATCTGAGGACACAGTTGTTGTTGTCGTGGCATTAAGGGGGAGGTCGTTAAGAGACGCCACAGGTGTTAGGGGTAACTGAGGACGCAGGCCGGTGATTGGTCAGGAGGGTGAGTGGCTGATGACCGGTGCCGGCCTGGCGGCGATAACATGGTCACGTGAGGCTGGGGGCCTGGGGGCGAGTAGCAAAGCATGGGATGAAATAATTGATTGGGACTGATTGGTGCGGGGATATAGGGCACAGCGTAACGGATAGACGGGAGTCTTGGTTGGTGTTGGAGTTGGAGTGGTTGGTGCCCAGGACAGAGAAGGAGCAGCAGGGAGCAGGAATAGATACGATAAGAGTAGACAGAGAAAACACAGTATACGGTAGCAGTGGATAGAGAGAACACAGTGTACAGTAGCAGTGGATAGAGAGAATACAGTGTACGGTAGCAGTGGTAGCAGTGGACGGAGTGAGTACAGAGTAGGGTAGCAGCGGAGTAACGGACCTTGGGAGAGAGGGAGAGAGAGCGAGCGAAGTCGCGGAGCGGAGCGAGCGAACGGGGATACATGGAGTGTTGTTGATGGCGGGTTGTGCATCGGAGCGAACAGAGAGACACGGAGCGATGATGAGGAGGAGGTGTGAACTCTATGTGTGAATAAACGAGACGAGAAAGACAACGAGAGTACGAGTCCTACAAACGTATTCAGTTCTCTTCATCCAGGTGGGAGCCCAATTGAATGGGGGGGGGGGGGTTTCTTCTTCATCTTTTGCGAGGAAGAGCCTCAGCGAGTCTCAAGACCCTCTTTCGGAATGTTTGGTCAATTCCATAACGAGTAATTTGATCTAATCAATAATATGGAAGATCCAACAGGAAATACAATGGAGTTTATTTTTAAGTCTCTGCTCTAACAGTCTCAGAGTATATCATGATACTCAAATTCGTTCTTGGATGGTGCTCATCTCTGCTAGTGATCCTGCGCAGGCGGTGGAAACTCCATAGGACAACCACTGTTGACTTTCAACAAAGTGGTCCTCAGTTGTGGACAATGCCAATTGTGGCATATGTTCTATGACACTGCCTTTGCTAATGATGCCACTGGGTATTTATATCTACAGCATCCACGTAGGAGTGAGATGATGGCGTGCGTTTCAAACTCTTAAAATATTATCCACCGGCTGCTTGAATTAACCTTTCAACCGTGAGCAACTGCATCGCCGTTTTACCCTCAAGCATCAGCCCTCTTAATAATAAGGTGGCACAAACCTCCCTTTACCAGTGATAAGCCATGCAGCCATTGAAAAATGTCAAGAAGTTGAATAGATACGCTGATGGGGAAGAGAGAGAAACACCCCACTCGAGATAAAAATGTGACATTTTCCACAATTCACCCGCTTCAACGTCACGCACGGCTGTTCGCCTGCGTCCACGGTGCTGTGCTGATAAGAATATCGGTTGATTGTGTGCAATGAGTTCAAATGGGCCCATGTTCCACGGAAAATTGAGGACACTGAGAGGTAAGGGAGGGTTGATGGAGGGGACTGAGAGGAGATGTGGAGAATATTTCGGCTGTAATCGATAAGACGTGTGTCGGCTGTTGATTCAGATCGGTGACCGCGCTTTTTAAAATATCTCCATGACTGTATATTCTGATCGTGCCACCGACAAAGTGTGACATGCAGAGCCCTGCAGCTTAACAGGTGACTAAGCGCTTTGCTCTCCAAACCTCTGGTGAGCAAGAAATGAGAGCTGGGCTTGGATGAATTAATTGCGGAACTAAATATGTGATACGCTTGAGGACCAAATCTGATTACGGGTGAAAGCCCACGATTTTATTCCGACGATCGCAGCTCCACTGACTGGCTGAGAGCCTGCCGAACTGCTTCGAAATGTCCTGAGGACTTCCAGAGCGCACGCCTGTCTCAATGTAAACAATGACAAGGACGTTGGTATACGTTGACGCATAAAGCAGTCCGCAGTGTACCCAGATTGGAGTCGGACCGTCTGCGGCAATGACACTACGAGTCTTCAATTTACTCACGAAGATGAGTGGCATTAAGTCATCATGTTCTGCTCTAAAATGTGTTGAAAACATCAATTGGACACGTGTTTCCAGGAGAACCACGGCAGGCGTAAACTCTGAGCCGACCACAGCCCTGGGGACAATGAAGGGGCTTGAAAATCTAATGACTTATTGACGCCCTCATCAGGATTTCTGTGTTCTTTCACCGTCACAGATTTGTCCAGGCAACCTCGCTCTGTCGATCACGTGCTTCCTCGCGGAACGGCCAACACGGGCGGACCTTCCTCCCGCTGTCTCTCCATCTAAGGCTCGCTCCGTCCATACGATGGAACTCTCCACCACACTATCCCACACACCTGGGGTCAATTACGATTGTAAATGTGTGATTCGTAATGAATTGCAATCAAAATGCTATTGTGATTTCAGCTAACAGTGCTGTCCTAACTGTAATTACTACGGGCTCCAGGTCTGCTATTCCACGTGCTCCTGCTCTCTCTGCACAACACTCTCGTGCTCAAGCGAGAATTTGTCCAGTGCTAATCTCTGTTGGCAGTTTTCAGCCACTGGTGGAATTTCCACGTTTCTATGGCATAGGCTTGTATTCATTTTCAACAGACTGTTACCTAGTTTATCATGTCCAGTGCGGAGGATGGGTCGATCAACTCCCACCAAGGATTGTAACTTGCAACGTTCTCTGTTGCATATAATAGCCACACATCCACCCGCGTGGATGTTAAGACGTAATTTAAACCGGACATGCTGTTTGCGGAATCATAATCTTTATTCATCCTGAAGAAATCCGATGAGCTATGAAGCTCCTTTTCACAGATGTCCAGTGGGGGCAGGTCAAGAAGTTACTACAACAAAAACAACGCAAAAAAACAATCGGTGCGCAAAGTATAGGAGAGGAAAGAAAAATCACTGAAAAATAAATACGTAAAATAGATGACGTATGTGAGTTCAAATTGCACAAGTACACCAATTCCGAAGCTTTGGGCAAGGCAGCAGAATGGCTCAGCCGGGGCCCTTCCTGAACCGCCAAGCCAGTGAGGGAAGCGGTCCTGGAGATGTTGTGTCTCACTCACTCGCCAGGGGCATGGTGAAGAGCCCTCCGTCGGGGTGCATGAAGGAGACGCCGCTCTCCCCGTCGGCCATGATGTTGTTGTCGGAGGCCGAGTCCCCTCCTGCATGCAGCACCATCACAGAGCATCGCGCACCCCGTGTAGCCATCGACAGAGTGTTGGGGGCGAGTGCTGTTAGCGAGCACCTACGCAGGCCGGCACGGCACACGAGGGGGTGGGTGGCCAACACCACGCACGGCTGCCTCCGTCTCCCCAATGTGCCGATGTTTACACGCCTCTCCAAGTAGTCATTTAAGGCCGAATTGACCTAGGGAAAGCCCAGAACCGATTCAAATATTTGCCACTGATATTGGTCGTGAGCGAGAATTGACATCGGGTCACTGGGTTAATAACAAAGTGCGCTAACCACTGCGCCACCACTCCTCACACATTGCATCGGCACACACTATCACTCATACATTGCATCAACACACATCACATTCTCATCACATATCACATCATCACACATCTAAACAACGTCATCACACATCAAACCCAAATCATCACACACCATTAAACATCACATCACACATCACCACACGGCATACATATTGCATCATCACCACACATGGCATCTACACACATCACAATGCCAGACCTCCGATTAGCACGGTTGGCTACGTACGGTGAGAAAGAAGTCCATACATGCATACCACATGTAATTTACGCCTCTATATGAACGACTTTACAAACTGCAATTCTGACAATGTTCTGCCTACACAGACATGCTGCATATAGCCGATATATAAAGAAAGAACAATGTGGATAGCAACAACCGGGTCGAATTATCCCTGAGAAAACAACATAATCCAAGTTCTGTAAGCATCGTAGCAGCCCACCAGAGCCATTGTCGCGGCCACAGAGAGTTTATTTATTTGATTTCCTACGGTCCTTTACCCAGGTGAGCCTTCACTGACTCATCAGTCTTTTTTCAGGAGGATCCTGCCAAGTGCTCTCATTGGGCAGCGATGGTTGCTATGTAGATCGCAATCGAGTAATTTGCAGATACATTTTCAAATTTTGCAAATTTGGACCATGGTGCAGGAATCACACATTCGCCTACTCTTGTGAATGACTCTCAGAGGATCTTGAACTTCCACTGTGAAGCAGACGGCGTGTAATTTTACGGAGCTATGATTTATTTATATTGTTAAAACACGCACGGTGGTAATCAGGGTTGGCTGCCGGATTCGAACAGCGGAAACCTCTGCAGCCGCTTGCCATGTCACCGAGGTGGATCGACTCTCACCAATGTAGCCGCCGCCACCGCCCCCGGCGCTGCAGGCACCGCCGCCGCCTCCGAAGCCGCCCGAAGTGGCCCAGGCCCAGTTGACGAGGGCCTCCGGGCACGCAGAGCCACCCTGTCCCCCCTGGTTCAGCGAGCGGCCCGACCTGGCAGGGCCCACGTGGCCGTACCACCCTCCTCCGCCTCCTGCGATGCCAAGGGCCCAGAGGGCAGGGAGGAAGTCAAGCATCGCACTCAGCTCCATCGCCACTGCAATAGCCGTCAGTGAGATCAAGTCAGAGTCCCTGCTCTTTGGTTCTTTCGGTAAAGTCACGTGGGTAGAACAAACAATAGATCACGACGTTTCGATCGCCACACAAGCAATCGTCTTCAGGTGGGATTGCGTGTGTGGCGATCGAAACGTCATGATCTATTATTTTTTCTACCCACTTGACTTTACTGAAAGAACCAAAGAGTATGGATTCCTGCAGTCACGAAAGCTTCAAATCAAGATTGATCAGAGTCCCTGCTCAAACAAGAATTGAGTGATGCTCTCCTCTCGTCGCCCCTGACTGGCAGACGAATGGCCATTTGCAAAGCGGTGCTGGGTACAACTCGTGCCACACAGGGACAGTTGCCCTTTGGGGGTCTCCTTGGCTAGATTGTAGAAGGGCAATGGGATGGGTGAGATGAGATGTGATGTAGACACTTGAATTGGTGAGGCATCAAAGTGCACGATAAATATAATTCCTATACAAGGTGTTTCAAATTGTTTTTAACACTTCTGAGAATTTGCAACAATACCACAAGAAATATGCCACCTCCGGGCCTCTGGAGACCACCTGGAGAAGATTCCAGGCACGTGTTGACATTGATGGCGGATATGTGTTGAGGCTCTTTGACTTTTTGAAACTATTAACATAGGATTGTTGTTTTTATCATGTTACAGTGTATTGTCCGTTCTTTTTACATTAAAAACTATAGTCCCATATAAGTATTAAAACAATTTGGAAGCACCCTGTATTTATGGCCCTGGGCCAATGACATAACTTCCACATGGCTATGGACAGGACCAGGGTTTCTATAACAACCACAGGTGACTCTCCACAAAGTGGTGCTCACCATTTTGGAATGATCTCCGAGCAGATCATTGAGGTAGACTTAACTCGCAACTTTGTGATTGTGAGTCGTGTACTCTAACCCCTACGGTGCCACGTGGCTGGAGAGAAATGCAGTGAGGAATGTCATGGGGTGTTTGGCAGTAACTCAAAAGAAAAACCGAATGTTGACTTCTCACAAAGTGGTATTTATTTTAAGGGCACCGTAGGGATAACGGGCTTGTATAGGGATCATCATCTTTGCCGGTATCATTATAATTCAACTGTTCAAGGTTACTCTGCTGTTTTTTTTTAATAAACGAATGTTGACAGACACACAGGCTGAGAATGGATTTTTTTTCGTTGTTTGTAAACTGAACAAACAACTTTTAAAAATGTGTTGTTTTAAATATATTTTAAAAATTACGGCGTCATCAGCGTACGTCTTTTTGTCACAGTGATGTAGGTTAACGGAGTGAGGTTTTTAATTGGTAAGCAGAAAAAGCAAATAACATGAGTAAATATTGGTTTCCGCATTCAATCGCAGACATTTTTTTTCGTTTTAACAGGCACATTGGCAGATTTAAAATATGAAAGTCATTATCTTTATCTGTCCAAATGCAAGGGCAGCTTGCAAAACTTTAAATTGTCACATTGCAACAAAATGCTCCAGGAGTCCAGAACCTCACAGCAACTTTAAAAACCAGCGATCCTTTAGAGGGACGGTAATTTAGTGTAAGTGTCGGCAATTGTCCAAATTTTGCTGCCTGGACAATGGCATATAAATGGTCTACTCTTGTGCCAACAGTCACATAGGGTTAAATCATTAGCATACGTTCCAACAGGATGCTGTCATGCCCTGGATTTGATTTTACAAACCCATGACATGGAGCATTACGCAACAGGTATTTTTAGCCTCTGCAATCATTCACAGAGAACATTGTGTTTTGATTCTGAAAAGAAAGCTTAAATTCATTTCCTCAACAACAACAGTGTGCCTTTCGTTGTCAGTGGCACTCAACATCTTTTTTTTATAGACGTGGCGCAACAGTGCATCCAGGCAAGTGGATTGAGAAAGGGACTCAGGCACATGTCATGTTTGAGTATGTCCGTGTCCATATGAGTATGCACGTTTAAATCCAATAGCTACCTGGCCATGTGGGTTAGGCAAATTAACTTATCTTAATAGTACAACCAATGGCTTAATAGTATTTGTTAAGTGTTAATAATCTTCATTCTTAACCATCTGGCCTGGAGACGCTGTAAGTAAGAGTGTTTAACTACTTACAATGGAAAGATCGAGAGTAGGAACTCAATTCAGAGATCAACTCATTGCTCCAGGGAAAATTGCCATTAAATGAGTCACACTCTGTGAGAAGCAATGGTCCATTTCCTCTGGACAGATTGGCTCTGGACAAGGCAATGTGGAATTGCCTACAATGGATAAAGGCTGCCAATGGAGATCAGCGCCCGCCCATGCCATTGTTAATTTAAACAGGGCGGCACCGTGACTTTGGACTTCAAATAATTGAAAAAGTGTAATCGAATAACGGATCTTTGTCTTTGTCGTCTTGCATGCGCCTCATGGACGTACCGGCAGCCCCCGTGTGCCCATTCACGCCTGGCACGGACAGGTTGCCCTCGAATGGATCGTCCACTATCTTGTCCGGGCGGCCCTCCTCCCTGTAGGCTTGGCCTCCGCCCCCTGCCGCCACCAACAGGGGTATCCATACCCCATCCTGCATCTGTACGGACAGAGGGCCCGCCTCATTTAACCAGGTTTGAGGGCGCCGCAGGATATGCAGTGCTGTTTGTCGGGAAAACATGGCGCGGCATGTTGAAATCTCACGTTTTTAGAACTGATTTTTGTGTTTTGTTTGTTTTCCTTTCCCCGCACCTCCGATTCGCACGGTTTGCTATGTACGGTGCGAAAGAAGTTCATCATACATATATACATAATACAGCATAAGGGAAAATAGTTGAAACATCAAACCAGCAGTGAGTTTTTATTACAGATTGGCCTCTAAAATGGGGTTATGCTCTATGTTTTGCAAGAGTACGATCCAAAAAAATCAAATGTGATAAACATTTGACAACCCGCACGTTGAGCACGACAGCAACAACCGCGGCAGTTGCGTGCTCTTCATTGGCGAGACTGGTGAGCGAGTGGGGTAATGGTGTCAGGGTCGACGTGATGGGTTTCCTGGCTGTTGAGCCGTTGAGGCAGAGTGGCTTGGGTGAAGAGGAGGCCTGTGGTGATGAATCAGGGAGTGGGGGAGGTGTAGAGAGAAATAGGAGCCAAACCTTGAAGAGGGTTAACAAGTACTCATGAGGCATCCAAGGTGGTGGAGGGAGGCCGAGTTGAACGTTACCCTGGTCCACATTTGTACGTATGATTCTGCGTTGTTTTTGGGCTTGATTCATGTCATCCAGTCGGGGTTCAACCGCGCAGTTCCAAACACTTCTCTTTCTGCTCCTTCCCTCGCACTGCTCGACTTTGGAATTTCCCTCGCCCGTCGTCTCTCTTTCCCAGTTCTTTTAACCTCGCTCAATTCAAGACAAGAGTCCACTCTTGCTGGCCGCTTGGCATTTTTGGGGCTTTGGGTCTGCGCTCCTCAATTGTGTAGAAAATAAAATATTGCGTAGAACTGTGTGTTTGGTGGATGTGCCGTATAATATTCACTCGGGTATGCCGAGGGCCACGCAGAACGGGCTCGATCTTGATCGGATCACAGAAGCTAAGATATCAGCCCGCATAGTACTTGGATGGGCAACCACCATGCAATCAAAGTTGGCATAGGTTTATAGGTGGCTGCGAAAGCTATGTGGTTTGCAGCAGAAGGCGGTGCAAAATAAAACATCCGTTGTTGTTATTTACTTTGGATGTGTGGCTGTGAAAGTATTGGGTTCTCAATGTGAATGACGGCTACAAATTTAAATGCAGCTGATTTTGGAGCCGTTTTGAGATCGCCCTCCGAAAGCACTGGCGGCAATGATGGCCGCAGCGCAGATCTCATTCTTTCAGATGTTTAAAAATTTACCACATGGAGCCGTGCGTCTATTTATTGACGTCAATTTATTTGGGTGGTGTGCAGGTCAGGTCCAAAAATTCAGCAAAGAGAGTCGGTCTAAAGCCAATAAACACAGCGTGGATAAATGCTTACCCGTGCACGACCTTTACACTATGTACACTGTGAAGACGCCAGTCCCTGGACACTTGCAACTTCAAAGAGATAATGGCTCAACCCCCTGTGTGGATCTGAAAGCCATGTCCTTCCTGCAGCCTCTTGGCATTACATTTGGAACAACTGTGTTTCACACTCTAGATCAAGCACTCGAGATCTATTCAAAGCCAAGTCAAAAGTTGCCTCCATGGCCAAATAACCCAATGGGAATGAGGTGGCCCTCACCTCATCTTGGGTGCTTAAGCAAAGTGTGAGTCTCTGCATATCTCTGACCACCAGGGTTGACTGCCTACATTGCAGTAATAATTTAAAGGACTGCAGCGTGATGATGACCTGTGCCAACCCCGGGCTGAGATCTGAACTTGGGACCTTGCGATGGGAGAGTGGAGCGTTCCGGTGAGATCGAGTGAGTTATGGTTGAACGGTATTACCAGTGTGCAATGCATCATGTTCTATGGACTTCAAAGACTCTACTAAATATATGTGTGTTTTTTGCCATTGTTTTCTATGGTCAGTCAAATTCTCAAAAAAAAAATCCGTAATACAATACATAAACAAATTTACAAACAATTGAATACTTATTAGGTAAATACAAATCAAGTTGGGTGGTACTTTGGCGAACTTATTGATTTACAATCAGAAGGTGAGACGTTAAATCCAGGTCAGAGGTCGACTATTTGGGTGAAAGCAAAGGAGTGCATCTTTGTGGCTAGTTTACAGTGGTCGACCGATGCAAAATAAAATAAAAACGCTCATCCTGGAAATGTGGATTTTCCAACAACTGGGCTCAGAGTCACCAAATGAGACGAGCACTGCCCAACATTAACTTGAATGTGGAGGCATTTTGACTTTAGACTTAGACACAACTGGCTACCCAGGTTTCCCACCGAAGAGAAATTTCGAATCTCCTCAATAAGTTAGCTGTTTTGCGGCAGCGGGGGCAACGGGTGCACACCGCAGCCATGAGCGGTAAAGTTACGTCAAAACTGACCCTCGGTGACTCCCCCTTCACAAACCCGCAAGGTGAAGTACATTCCAACAACTTCGACACGACCTACACGACACGGGGGGGGGGGGAGGCCTTCATCCAGCAGTGAATTCACAAAGGGCTGTACATTAATGAAGTGTTTGTTTTTTTACCCATTTAGGTAAAGCACAATGAATTGAACTAAAATCAAATTGCATTGCATTCAGCTTGGAGTGACTCAGAGTAAAAAATTGGGTGTGTTCGCATTAAGCAGGAAAGGCGTTATTGAGTCCTATAAGTGATGTTTATTTTCTCTATTCTCCTGCATTTGTTCTCGTGCCCCCTGTGACCTCGATGATGAGATCACGACACACAATTGCTCGGTGATGCATGCCCTGTCATCCCCCGGGTCACACGGAGACCGCCTTCCCGGCATCACGGTATCCACCCTCATTTAGAATGTCACGCACAGTACTTTAGCTGGTATGTAGCAATCTATCTGTATCTATGTATGTTTATCATGGCCAATACCCAGTGACGATTATCTGAAGCGGTTATGGGCCTCCCCTAGATCGACTCAGCATAAAATGAATACCTGGTGTGGTGTATAAACATCACCACTGGGGAGACAAAGGCGGCCGGGCGTAGTTTTGGCCACCCAACCCCTCGTGTGCCGTGCCGGCCTTCATAGGTGCTCGCTAACAGCACTTGCCCCAACAGTCTGTTAAGGCTATAGAGGGGATCTTTGTGTTTGTCTTGTTTGTAGTTATGTCGTGTTAAAAAAAAATACATTACAAGCAATGCATTCTCTTTAGTTCTTTCGGTAAAGTCACTAAGGTATAAAATAAAATAAAATACCTACGTGACTTTACCGAACGAACCAAAGAGTATGGATTCCTGCAGTCACGAAAGCTTCAAATCAAGCAATGCATTACTGTAATTCGAATCATCAAAGGCAGTTAGTGATAATTAATAATAATGTAATACATTTAGTATTCACATTATTTTTTATAGTGCAGGGCTATCACAGACTGATAATGTCTGCCAGTGAAGGGTAATGTTGCTCTGTAGTTTCATCAAATTAAGTAATCTTTTTTATTAGCATGATGGGAAATGCTTATCATGGGATGTCTAATTTGGTGATTCCACATCATGGCTTCCTGAGATGCTGCGGTGGCGAGACGTTAAATACCTCACCTAGCATACAGGAGGTCGTGAATTTTATCCCAACTCTGAGGTCGTGGGTTTGATCCCAACCCTATTTGAAGTTTGCACGTTATCCCCGTGGTCGCATGAATTTCTCTCCGAGTCCTTTGTTTTTTCTCTCCGCATTTAGAAACATGCATTTAGAGTATTTGTTCTGCTATAAATTTCCACGTGATAAGCCACTTCGTTGAGCTATCGTTTCTGGAAAAACAGAGCTGTATAGCTCAAGTGGGCGGCCTTACCTGGTCAAATAATAAACAGGTCTCAGTCGACACGGCGATGCGGTACTCTCCATGGTCCGGGACTCGTGGCCACAGTCACGCTCGGGCTCCACATTCCTGATGTTCCACTCATGAAGCAGGTGGCCGCGTCAGCGCTCACGATTCTGTCGAGTTTCCGTCTACTGTCTTCCAGGGGAGGTCGAAGCCAGGGACCTCTACTACGGTTGGATCAGCGATGGGGCGTTGGTCCTTTACGTTGCATGCGTCTCACGATTCCATCCATGTGGATAACATGTTGGTGGTGCCAACTGCATCGGTATTGGCTGCTGTTTTTCAGAATGGACGGTGCGATTTTAAGCGCATTCCTGGCGGGATTACTTTAAATATTTTCCATCTCGCGTAGCACGGCAGCATCGTGGCGGATGGCAGCACTGGGAGCCACTCAGTTGTCGTGGCGGTATTGAGCTGTATGCCTATGATCTTTGTGTGGCAGCTGCTGGACCATGAGGCAGAGCAGTGTCCTGCAGCAGAGTGAACCAAGGCCACTGTGGTGCCGCAGAGCATTCGAGCTGTGCTCCCCCATGGCGTTCTAGCGAGTTTCTAGATGAGGTTCACCCTGCTTTTTTTTTGTTTTTGACCGATGCTGGTGAGATGATGGCGAGAGGTGAGAGTCCGGTCAAGGGTGATGCCCCAGGTACATTGGACGGGGTCTGTGGGTCAGGAGATTTCTGCAAAAGGAAACGTTGAATTCTTTCCTGGCGGCATTGTTGAACAGATGGAATGCCAATAAGTCAATTGTCTTCTCTGGATTAGGGAGGAGGCGCCAGAAGCCCGGAAGTAGCATTCCAATGCCTGTCAACCCATACAGTTTACCCGTATTCTTGTACAGGGAAATTGAGCTTTTAGGTCTATACGGCATACAACCGTTTCAAATACGGGCAAAAATGTTTTGTCTATTTGTTTGTGTTTCTCTCTTGTGATGAGACTTTGTAGGATGAACGTTGAGATGTATAAGGGCACGGGGTGACCAATAAGGTCTGAATTGGTCTGTAATAAAGTAGGCACTGAAAAGGGGTTGACAGGTATGTATTCTAGCAAGCCCAGTTTGCTTGAAAGATATTGATGCGAGGCAGCTTTTTTCACACAGAGAGAGCTTGAGCAACTTTTTCACTCTGCGTTTCTTTTCGGCAGTAGTCTGGGCCTTTGAATTGGCTAGGATGTAGCCAGGCCACCATGTCATCGGCCCTGACCTTTGGCACCTCAGGTGTGGGTAGTGAGGTGGCTCCAAGATGGCGGAGGAGGTTCCAGGTTTCCTGCTGAAGTGTGAGAAGGCCACGTTTTCCGTGATTTCTCTGAAAACGTGAGTGAGTGCCGTTGCTGTGTCCGGGTCTTGGGTGGCATTGAACTCTGGCAGCGGTCTTTCGCGTTCCTGGGACCAGCAAGGCTCTTTGCTGTAGCCGCCCGGGATGCTTCTGCCACCACTTTCAGCGGTCAGGCAAAACGGCAGGAGTTAGTGATGTGCGAGTAGGTTATGTAGTTGTTTATTTGGGACCACGATGCCGGCACACGTGGCCTACCCTTTTTTGAACGTCATGGGAACTTTCACGTCCATTGCGAAGCAGACGGCACACATGCATGATTAATACAACCGCAGTGTCTTACACCTGCTATGGACTCGCATTCTGAACCTTTGCAACGATCGAGACAAACGCGCTGCTACTTGGCCATTTCACTGGCCCAAATACTGTCACGTCTACCCATAATACTCTGCTTTCAGTGTGAAATGAAACTATAAATACTGAACATTTTTGCGTGATTGCACTTTAAACATTTTATATATAAATATAGAATTAATTAAAGATATCGCTTTGGAGTTTAAAGGGTTAAAAAAAACTTTCCTCTCTCTTGGCATGCACCCCCTTCGCTCGCAACCCCATCCAGTTACACCTGTTGTCCTGCACCCCAAAGTTTACCTGCCTCTCCAAAACGATCTCATCCTGCTGCGTCTGGGGCTACCACCGCTTGGCCAGTGAAGGACAGGTGATTGATTGGTTGTGACGTGACCTTGATGTGGTAGGCCAATGTATATGTATGCCCTGATGTGTAATGTACAGTACTAGAACAAAGCCCATGACATCACAATTCTCTCCTGAGGTGGAGCCCTCCGCAATGAAATGGACATCAGCGTTGGCAAGGCTGATTGATAGGAAAGAGAATTACATTTGCCTTGCTCACACTTTCTCTTTTGTGATATGGATGGATAAAAAAAACCGCGGGTAACACAGATATCAGGCAGTTAATTTGATTGTCTATATAAGTTCCTATTGCGTCTGATTCGATATGGTGGGCGCTATGGTTGCGTCCAATTAGCTGTGGTGAGCCGTGAATTTATCCGAGTGGTAAAGCACAAACTTGGAGAACAGGATATATTTGCAGCCACTTTTTATCGACGAATTTTAAAAAGCACAAACATTAATAAAAATAAAACGAAGAAAACAGCGTTTCCAGCAGACCACTTGCCACTGGTGTGCACGGTTTGACTGCTATAAATGTCCACGTGATAAGCCACTTCGTTGAGCTATCATTTGAGGGCCAGGTCACTTCTAAAAAATTAGAGCCATGTAGCTCAGCGGGCCTCACTTGGTAAAATAAAAATAGGCTTTCTTTTTAAGACAGGGATTGCACAAAGGGGACAAGAATGACAACAATACGGCCCCCAATGTCGGTTGCACCTCGCGGATAACAGCGGATCGATGGGATCGCTGCAGACGCTTGCGCGGGCACGTGCACCACCGGCTTTCAACCGCGAATGATTTGACGACGCTCGGACGACACACAGTGCCGAAGTACGGTACGCACCTTGAACACGAACGTGCCCCCGCCGCCACCCCCGCCTCCTCCCGCCCACTTCGATACTTTGCCCTCTCTCCTTTTCTCGTCTTCTATAACGGTGGACTCTCCCCGGCAAACCTGGTCCACATGGTGGTCAATCTGCGCACCGCAGAGAAACGACAAATCCCCGGTTGGTGGGGGGGGGGGGTGACCGCGATATGTTTTGCAACATTTTGTGACGTTGCCATTAATATTGGTCGTTGAATTTTTTTTCCTCAAGATTTTAATTCCAAAAAAGTGGATTAGAAAATACAACAAAAACCCCCAACTAATTCAAGTTGTAAATACTTTTCTCGTACGTGTTTGCCGCGTGAAATGTTTCCAGGAGTAATCGCGTGTAATGCCATGGCAACTGTGTGACGCCGTGATTTTCTTATACGGCAACGTAAATCATGCGCACTGTTGGCGAGATTGTATGAATGAGAAAGACTGGTGGCTGGCTTAAGTTGAGTGAAATGCAGTTGAAAACGTTTTAAGTAATCTTCTTCACACTGGAAGTACAGCAAAGCACAAAAAAGAATACCGCGAAAAATGTTACATTAAACTCGTATTTGACGTAATTTTCATGCGGCAAGATTTTGATGAATTGTATCGCAGATACCATGGTGGTGAGCACATGCCAACGGTAACTTCCCATTGTCATCAAATCGCTCTGTCACGGTGCAACATGATTGGATTGCCTTTGAGAGACCCAGGTGTAAAAAGTAATTGGCATAGTTTTTTTGGGCAGTGCAGTAACAAACGAACAAAGGTTTCTATATCTGCAAAGCAAAACTTCACACGCGGAATAAAAAAGATCGTTGTGACACAAACACATCCCGAGTGCGAACGTTCACACCCTGCACCGCACTCTCATGTGTTTTTTTGATCGGTCAAGTTCGCATAAACATTGCTTATGCGACGCAAAGCGGGGCAATGTCTCCTACAAGAAATAATGGAAGGTAGGGATAGGAACCATAACTTAGGGAAATGTTGTTTCATACCTAGCAACCAAAATTCGTACTGTATATGTACAGTATCTATTGTACTATACTGTACATGTGTTGTACTCTCCTGTACAATACATAATGTACACATTTATAACCAATTCTGAGTTCAAGGACCTTTATACAGGATTTATACTTCCTTGTACACTTTAAAAAGTATTTTTTTTTTATAGAAAACGTATTCGTGAAATTCTTAAAGCAATGATGACAATGGGAACGACCTACTTTGTCTTTAGGCTGAGTTCACCTAGGGGATTTCCAGGATAGTTCGAAATACAACTTTCCATCAGTGGTCTTGCCCACAAATTGAACCAAGCTCGCCAGGATTGTAGCTCGGTGTCGTGACCACTGCATCGCCGCTCCACAACACATACACGAATTTTTCTCCAGTAGCCCGCGGCAGAAATACAAACATTCGCTTGTGTAGAAGTCTTCAAACGTACACAGGAGTGTGCTTGCACACACACACTCAAGTCTCTGCTTGATTCATCGAAAACCCTCTCCTTTGTTACCGTGAAATTGTAATTTAAGCAATCCAAAAGCGAGACTCAATTTCCCTTAATGAGATTACAGGCTGGCTGGTTTCCTCCTGTGCTGTCAACAGCGCTTGCCTGGCAGACCCAATCTGTAAATGCACCTTTGGGCTCTCGCATGATTCCCCAAGTAAGTTTCTCCCAACCTGTCTCGCTGCAGCTGTGAGTTTAATAGCTGTCATCCCATTTAGGCCACGGAACTGTGAAAAGGTGACCAGGTGGAAAGAATACAAGTAGGTGTTAGGCTGAGTGGATTACGCGCATTGTAGCACCAGATAGAGGCTCATGGGATCATGTGACAATGCCATGCTTCGCGTGTTGTATTATGCTGAACTTCTTTCGCACTTTACGTAGCCAACCATGCTAATCGGAGGTTCGGGGAAATCACAATAAACTGAACACAAAAAGCAGTTCTAAAGAAATGAGTTTTCAAACTAGATGATTTAAATGTGCATTGTTTCAGTGGCTTGCTAAATATCGGAAGGAAGAGCGTTCCAGATGGCCGCAGAAGCGCATCTGAAGGCGCGTGATGCAGTGACCGTCTTTGTTTGATGGTTAGCCAAAAAGCTGCTGGCGAGGATGGCAAGAGGTGAGCAGGTGTCGGTGAATGCATCGGGTTTTTAGACTGCAATTTCACAGTCGTACGTGCAAATTAATAAAAAAAATGCGAACTTTTCTCTCCAGAACTTGGGCACTTTGGCTTAGTTTTGCTTGTGGCAGAGATCTTCACATCGTTACATCCTCTGCTCTTTGACATCGACGACAGATTTTAAATACTTCATCAAATCGCCCGCGCATCGAATTATTGCGTTGCCTTGCCAACGATATCCCAAATGTCTCAGATGTGAGTATTAAAAAGAATAATCCATAACGAGTGGGTGCCTTTTTTATCTCGGCACATCAAGTAAATCACAAGGGGAAGAACAGCAAAAAGCGATTTCCATCAGTCAACTGTTCCAACACAATCGGTGCTACTAAAGCAAATGCTACAATATCCCTTGCGGAGTGGGTGGGGGGGGGTCTCCTTTGCTACTCCGCATCAGCCACATGCACGTGCGTGTGTTCATGCGCGCATGTGTGGGGAGAGGTGGTGTAGTGGTTAGCACGCTGCGCTACGAACCCGGCGACCCGAGATCGATTCCCGCTCACGACCAATACCAGTTACGATTATCTCAACCAGTCCTGGGCCTCCCCTAGGTCCACTCTGCCTCAAATGAGTACCTGGTGAGGTGTTTAAACATCACACCTCGTGTGCCGTGTTGGCCTTCATAGTTTTCCTTTTTTTTCATAGAAAACGTATTTGTGACATTTTAAGCAATATCTCCAACAGAATACACATTTTTAGTGTAACAAAAAGCACAGAATCTTAAACAGCATTTAAACAAATATTTCATCTTAACCTATGATTTTTATGATCTTACCTTGAGGAGTGGATGAGTTGTGCTTGATTGGCTTGATTGGAGAAGGTGTTGGGAGAGTATTAAGCCGATTACAATGAGCACTCGCTACGCACAACGCGAGAGAACGCGATGAGACTGAGACGCAGCAGGCAAGATGCTAAGATTTAACACGTAGGCTTTCGTAACCAATATCCTTCATAATAAAGGTTTTTTAAGGTTAGATCGCGTAAATATTAATGTGTTGTTAAGTGTATTCATATAGATTACGATGAATTATGTTCATTTGAGAATATGCATTACCTATCATAGTTAATCAACATATGATCACCTGAATATGCGTGCAATGGAACGGTGTGTTACTTAATGATACGCTTTGAATGCGCGAAATACGAGTTGTACAACTTAACGGTGTATGTGCGGGGAAATTTTACGATGGGTTCCTGAAAAAACAAGATTCATAGCCATAATAGAGGGATTTGGGATAGATCGCGTAAATATAAACGTGTCGTTAAACCCGCCATCACCCGACACAGCCAATTAGTAAGGTTGGTCACGTAAACAAAACGTGCCATCTCGTTACTAGTACAGCGCACGCGGTGTGCTGGAGAGTAAACCCACGACAACATTTACAATGAGAGTCCGACGTTTCGCCAGTAGTTACAACTAGCATCGTCAGGCGACAGCCCGATCTAACCCAAAAACCTCTATTATGGATAATATTGGTCGCAAACGCCTACATGTTATGGTATATCGCGGTGACGTATATATTGGGAACCCCCCCACCAAGTCTATTGCCCTCAACTCCGCAACCCACACTCTGGGCTTCTGCAGCCATTGCGCTCTGCAACCAACGTACAATGCTGTTATTTCAGCTTAACATGCTTCTGAGTGGAAATGTAGTTTAATGTTCTGAAGCCTTAAGTTATCAAATGTAGCAGGATGTCAAGGCAATGTGTACACAATTCAAGAGAGGTGGATTGGACGGAGTGGGCGTTAAAATCGGGACAGTCATTTATGCTGCTGCTGCGTGACAACCCAGCTCTAATTGAGAAATGCTTTGCCTTTAAGGTGGCATGTGTTGAGAGCTTTAAGCAGCCCCTCCAGAAAAACGCGATTATGCGATCGCAAGATTCCACGCAAAATCAGCCAAAGTCCGCATATTTATGCGGGGGGCGCGTTTTTTCAAATACGCCGCACTTTCGCCGCATAAATTGCAGATTTCCGCGCGCAAAATATGCGGGCTTGCATGATTTCATAATCCCCGCATTTTCGTTGCAAAAAGTCACATATATCTTAGCAGAAAGTTGAAAAATGTTGCGTTTACTTCACACAAGCGCAGGCATTTCCCCTGTTGCCATGGGAACGTTATGAAGTGTTAGAGGCTACGTAGTTAGTTTTATTCAGGAGTTTATGCAACTTTACAGTTGTAAGATTGCACTTTTTTGTTAGTAGTATGTAAATTTACATTACTGTAAGACTGTACTGTTACTGTATTGCTTACGTTACTGTGCACTAAAAAAACACTTATTTTAACAGAAGATGTCTGTTTTGTATAGCTACCTCTGTAAAACAGGAAGCACACATTTATTTTTTTATATTTTATTTATTCATTTTTACAGAAGTTGTAGCATATTCATTTTGTAAAGCTACAGAACTTGTTCGACTCAATGTTTTGTAAGTTTGAGCCATCTGTTTGTTAAGGTCTGAAATAAAACAAGATGAGAACTTAAATATTCCCAGCACTTTCTGTGATGTAGTATGCTTGCTTATCATAGGAAGTAATAAGAAATGACTCTTTACATTAAAGTAGTAGCCTAGTGAATAGGGTGTTTGGGGGAATCACTTTTTTTTTATCTTTTTCATCAAACCGCAATTTTTGCAAGTTCCCGCAATTTAATCGCATAAAATTGCATAAATATCCCGCATATTCCATCGCATTTTTAAAGAAAACGTGCCGCATAATCAACGATTTTTGCCCGCAACAATCACCAAAAAACTCTGCGTTTTTCTGGAGGGACTGTTTAAGCTCCCGCTACTGGTCAGTGGATTAAGGCCCCCGCATGTAGCATTAAATGTGTTTAGAAAATGTGTGGTAATTACCGAGAGCTTTTGACGTAAATCAAAAGCCCACTCGAGTATTAATGGTGAATATGGCCAAATGGGAGTTCATGGAATATGTTTTTTTTAAGTGTTCAGAGCAAAAATTGTGTGTGAATGGCTTGTCAAGCCTCTTTAATGCATACATGGCTTTGTGTAACAGTTTTACATGGGAAACGTGCATTTAGATGTAGAAAACAAGTCAGCAAGAACCACGTTTGCTCGTCACACAGAGGTGCCACATGTATTCATGCAAAGGTCACAGTGCGATCAAATGGCTCGGCCATAAGCACATTTGTTGCTTATTGCAGAGGTTGCGATTCGAACCCGGCAGGCTGCCCTGCTCTCTTGGCCTATCCTACAGCATGCTACTCCCTGCCCTGACCCACCAGCTATGATCAGGCCTACCCAAACCCTTGTCACTACCCCAAACCCAAACATGCCTTAACCACGTCCAACTGTCCCTCCTTCCTCTCACCATAGCTAAACCACCACTTTTAATAACTCCACTCTTTCAAGCACATTCATCTAGCATACAATTTTTCCATTATTGTTTAGCGACTTGGACTAAGTAGCTGTAATACATTTATTTAATATAATGATTATGATGATGCTGCTGCTGATGATGGCTGCAGTGTTGGAGGTTTGGCCAAACAGTGTTTTACACTGCCTCCCACAATTCTCTGGCAGTGGTGGTCTTGGGGGGAGGTGCAAGAGCTGCTCACCGAAGGGCACGCGTCGCCTCCCTGCTGTCCCACCAGCATGTAGAGGATCTCGTCCTTGTGCAGGATGAAGTTGGCCGAGATGTAAACGCCGTGCGCACGCTGTTTGTTGTTTCTGGCGCCTTTCCCTCCAGCTGCACCGTACGCCGAAATCCTGCAATTAAACAAAGTCGGGGTCTGAAGCGAGTCTCATCATCTCTTCTGCGTGGGCGAAAGTGGGTACCTGTATTGAGGTAGCTACAGATAATGATTTTGGCTATGCCACAGTGTTTATTGCAATGCACTCTTTTAGTGACATGGATTCGATTTCTTGCTATATTTCAAAAGTGGACATTTTAATACCAATCTTTCCTGGGCTCCCCCGAGGTTACCTTCGCGTAATATTGGTAACTTGGTGTATTGACGTCAGCGCTGAGAAATAAAAATGGGCCATGTATGGTCAGGCCCGGATTAACCCATCGGCCTTAGGCCCTCACGTTTTGTTGGCTCTCCTTTCCATAATGAAGTAACTGCTGAGCAACGGTATCCCGGCCACGGGGATTTGTATGTCTTTGAATTACGACGACATTATTCATAACTTTGCCACAGCTAAAACAAGGGGTGAACAAATGTTTGAAGAAATTAGTGTCGTGAGAGATGTATGTATGATGACTTACCTTGAATTGAAATGTAATTTTACGTAAAGAAATAGATGTGATGACTTCATAAAAGTGTTTTGCAATGTGTAATACATTCTTAGGCCCTTCCCTCCTATTATCCTTAGGCCCCCCATTAACCTTAATCCAGCCTTGGCTATGGTGTTGGTCATACCCCCACCTTGTGTAACATAAATGCCTTAATAACCACCTCCTGCCAGCAACACAGTGAATAAGGAACCTTCAGAATTATTTCTACTCGTCAGTTTCTGTCTGTATTCAGACGCGTTGACTTTGTACACAAAGGCACCTTGTCTGTGGCATACCTACACCAGAAATTAATGGAAAAAAATTCACTTGACCTGAGAGCAGCAGAGGAAAACGTGTAACTATTCAATGAGCGCGGGTTTATAGAATGCGATGTTAAGGAGGCAGCGAGTAGTGGCTGGAGCTGAGAGTTGGGGAGACAAATGGAGAGAGAAAGATGAGGCGATAGGATAAAACAACAAACCACGACTGCAATCTTGCAGTGCAGGGGCTCTCAACTGTTTTTTTTTGCATTTGCGGCACTCAAAAGTGGCCATGGCTTTGATGCACGAAACTTTCGAGTGCAGAGGCTTGTTATTTGTAGTCGCCCATTTGGGAGCACCATCTAGAGAGCTGATTGCTGCTCCACCAGCGCTCTCGGTAGGCGAGCGTGCCATCATCAAAGCCAATCTGCTGGCACACACTCAGCTGTACTCTGACCCGTAACAGTGGAGCTGTTCAACGTAATTTTTTACGGCAACACCCAAGAGACCCCCCCCCCCCTCCCCAGCTGATCGCCCGATCGAGAAACCATCGTTGCAGTGAGCCACGTTGTGTTTTTTTTAATTAAGTTGCAGATGTTTGCGGCAGACCTACTGATAGTGTTTGGTGAACGGGACGCGCCAAATTTGCACGCCGCGGAAGGACCCCGAGCGCGGCACCTCCACCGTTATGTTCGTGTTGCGGTACGCGTTGTCGCACTGCACCTGCGTGGGCCCCAGCGGCCCACTCGCGCCGCATGTTTTGAACATCCACTGGAGCGTGTTGTCCTTGACTGACAACCGGGGGTGTGGGGTGAGGGGGGGGGGGTAACCAAAAACAAAGGCGGGCGAGTGGTGAAAGTGGCATCAGAATGCACGTGGTCGCGGTTGCCCCAACAAGGGGCTCGTCTCTGCACATTCCCTCGCACCTATGCGCTCCTTTGCAGGTTACTCACACCGGTTTCTTCCCACAGGGAAATAAGCAGAATTCTACATCCTCACCGTTGACACGACGTAATGCGGTTTCTTTTTGGTTTTCAGACTGCAGGAATACACACGTCAAATGTAATTTTCAGGTAATTTTCATCAATAGCGTCTAACACTCCACTATATGTTGATAAGCGCATCTTGAATGTCCTACACATGATTACCATAGAGCTTTACCTCGTCGTAAGACCGATGCATGTGGATTGACTGAATCAGTCAGCATCTTGCTGTGCGTGGTATATTTACTGCACGAACAGCGTTTCCGATCTGAATTTTTGGTTTAATTTCCTATTCACTTTCAGGCAGTCTTTCCAGCTCACCTCAACATATAGCTTCATAAAGTCTGGCCTTTAGAGGTTTTTTGCCGTTACGTTCAAACGTTTATCCAGAAGTGGCACGCCGTACATGGGGTCATTTAAAAACTCTAATTATCAAAGATATAAGAATAGGTTTTCCTTTTTTTTTGGCGTCCTCTGGTCTAACACCGTTTGAGACTAGGCTCTAAACAAAGCTCTCTGGTGTGGACCAATCAGTTTCAAAGACAATGCATATACCGTTTTTTGTTTGTATTTTCACCACAAGTAACTGTGGTTAATGCAGACATGATTCCTTTCAAAAGGTTTCAGTTTGGTGTTTTAACATATTAACACCTGTTTTGTTGCCAGAAAAAAGGGGAAAACCTATTCTTATATTTTGACACTGGCAAAGGAGGTCCCATGATATAATTATCCGTTGTAGTTCACAACATTCTAATGTGGTAAAGGTAAATGAATGCACTCTAATATATCCAACCGCGTCTGGGTTGTGAACTCAGGGGCCACAGACTCACTGGGGTATCTGCTCATAGCTCGGGTGCTGTCTGGATGCGGTCCTTGTTAGAGCTCGTCACACTGTGACAACCGGCGTTTACAATTCAACGTGTTAAATTACATCAATAAGATGTGAATGTTTCTCTTGCAACCACCACTTTGCAGCTCAGCCACCTATGCAAGTGTGCTTTTTGTGAAAGAAAATGCCCTGTGCATTACATTTCATAGTTGATAAGAAGGACATTCACTCATCTGAAAATGTTAATATACATATATAAAACAGTGTTACATTTCACAAATAATCATATTTGCAATGTATGCAAACGCTGTCAAGCAAGCATTGTACGTTTAATTGCACGACACATTTATGCACAATATTAATTCAACTGCGCCTCTCTGGAGATGAGTGTGTGCTAGCCAGTTTTAATATAATCAGACACTTTTTTAGTCATAGTCTAGCCAACGATAACCTGTGGGATTTTAGTCATGTGTTCGTCTGTGGATTCCATTTAGTAATTTTCTCAGTCTCGTCAGTTAAAGCAGACAAACAATAGTCAATCTATAGTTGTTAGCATTACCAGGTTGGCCAATCAGTGAATTCAGTAAATATTTGTATATTCTGTATTTTAGAGTATTTGACTGAAAAACATTTCCATGTGATAAGCCACTTAGTTGAGCTATGTGTGGCCAAGACGCTTCTGAAAAAGAGCTGTATAGCTCAGTGGGCCTTATGTGGTGAAAAATACATAGCCAATTATCATATTTGATCTCTCTCGGTGCATTGCTAAGGCTGTCTTCATCCATACGAGTCAATTACGCCCGTCATCGTGAAGCGTTGGTCTTTTTAGTAAGTAGTCATTGTCATCATCAAGCTTGGTTATTTTTGTCCACTCAAAGTCATCATTGACTAAAATTAAATAAGAACTTAGTTTACGACCATTCCTGAGTGGCTTTTTGTTCGCAAAATGAATAGTGGTGCTCGCCATACTCTGAGTGGAGTTCAGCTCCAGCTCCAAGTCGAGGCCATCAAGCTTCGAGTCCTGAAAATCCATGTCCACCGATCGACGACTCTTCTGTGCTTGCGCTTGGGGTGGCATGGAAGAAATCACAGGAAACTATCAAGCCTCACCGCCCCCGCCCCCCCAAAAAACGTGGATGTAACAATGGGCCCACTTCATTAGTATTTGCAGAAAGTCAGCCCGATTCCTGGATATGAAATTAATTGAGGACTGTTTTCCCCACCAGCCATGCCTCAGTGCGCACTGATCCCACTTCGACTCGATCGGTACGGTGAGATTAGTCCCCAATGGAGGATGGGGTCCATTTATATTCATGCAGAATTCTGGCTCATGCATTCTGCAGACACATGCCGGAAGCGCTGCCACAAAATCACACCGTATGTATGTATGTGGAACGTCTTTCATGCTAATCGGAGGTGCGACTAAACCCCTGGCGGGAATGGGCCCAGTTTATACGTCGGAGCTCGAATCCTGTTCTGGAGACATTGCTGCCAATTACATCTCCAGAGCCAATAAAATGCATGCCAATTTGTAGAAGGTCTGCAGTGTTCGTCCTATGGATAAACCATCTACATGATACGAATAAGTAAAAGCTCAATGAAAATGAACAAAAGCACTTGATAATGATGAAGGCTAGTCAATGGGACCATGAATAAACTCTCTTTATGAATGTATTCTTTATTGATTCTAAACCATGAATGCATTGCTTAATTATTCATGTACCTTCTTGCCAATTATTCCTTAGAGTATCCCTGCGTAAAATACATTAAACATCGACATCTTTTCCACATCTTGCACAGCAAGATGCCATTTCATTTTTGGCATTTTTTACATTGCATTCTATTGTTGGTCGTTCGCAGTGGTCTTCTTTAACCGATTTGTTCGCAATTATCCTGCCAGGTCAGGAACATGATGCTGATAAGGCTTTTGGGGGCCGGTACAAGGTGCCCCAAAGCCTTTTCTCTGCATCACCATTCGTGACCCTGCAGGGGAATGTGAAAGTAATGGCTAAATGAAGACCTCTGTGGGTGCTGGCACTGATGACTAAAAAGTTTTTTTTTTATACCAAAGTACAAAACGTTCTTTAAATGTATCTCCTTACCACAATTGTTGTTTTCTTTTCTTATTAGGTTTAGTATTTATTTGTTCTGTTTTCCTTCAGGTTATATGTTAAAACAAGTGAGTATATGCACCGTCCGGCACTGTAACCCTTGCCTTGATGTAAAAGCACTTTAAAAATCATGATAAACAAATCTAGCAATACAACAGTGGTTATTTGATGTAATTTCAAATAGCAGCTAACATTCATAATAATTCAAACCATTCCACATATTATTCAAGTATTTGTTTTTTTTACTAAATTCATAACGATCATAAATACAGGAACACTTTAAACAACACCATTATCTTCTACAATGTATATGTTTGTCGTATTGTTTTTGTTCTCTCTCTAATTCACGTTTTCCATGTCACATTTTTGAAAGCCAACTGCGATGCATGCCAATTTTTCAGGGGAGACTAGCTTCCTTGCTGGCTTGTGTGCATACATGATATTTGAACACGTTCGAGCCGCTACGCGCATTTCCATGAGTTGACACGCGACCGCACATTGGTTACCGTTCATGGGGGAGCCACGTGGCATCCTCTACACGTAGATGAGATCTCCAGTGAAATGCATAGCTGCAAGCATCTAGGCTCGGCGATGGGGCCTCGAGGCAAATGAGCAGAGCCGTCATTAAAATAAAACACTTCTAAATTGGGAACGGATAATTACGTTGTTCACGGAGAGCAGTTCATGGAATGAGCACAAGCTGTGGTGCGGGTATTTTACAGCTAATATCATTCCCTTATGCAGTAATTGTTCAAAGTCTTGAGAAAGTACACATTTGCATATTAAACAGGGGGGGGGGGGATGGAAGCGTGTTTAAGTGAATTGTGCATATTGTGTTTACAAAGCCTCATACAGCAAAAGACAGAGAGCTAAAAAAAACACTGACAATGCATTAAGGAGAGAGTGTGTGGATATTTTATAACCACATGAACGTGGCTAATTTAAATGCCTGCCTGTAAAAAAAAACCACACCTGATTAAATAGGTAAATAACAGAACGGCGGAGGGTGTCACTGGTTTAAATTACTCTGTTCCCGCATCTATATTTTACGAGCTGAGTCAGTGGCATTCGCTTGGTCACTAATCATCCAAGATGAAAGGAAACACGATGGCGATATTTAAATGTGCAATTGTGCGCTTTTGTGTGTATGGATGATTGTATACTAGGAGGTAGCCCATTGAGATTCAAAGGTAATACATCACATCGCGGAACTGTATTTACCCTGCCCCCCCCCCCCCCCCCGCTGTGATTTCGTGAATTTATTTCATTTAAATTACACAATAAAACAATACACAGTAATAATAATAGAATAAGGCAACATCTCGCACAATTGCACATTTAAATGTGGGTTCATGAGCAAACGTCACAGTTGATAGACAGATGCACAAAAACAGAATGACGCCTTTCCATTCTATAATTAAAAAATGGGGCTCAAGATGAGCTTGATGAGCAGCCAGCAACGGGGCAGATCAGGCAAATTATTGGCTCTAAGGTACACTTCATAACCATAACCTACATATTAAAAAGCTTTCAAATGGCATCTTATTCATTAAAATTGATACAATATCCAGAATGAGTTACCTAGACATATACAATTTAGCCGCATATTAAGGATCGACTGCAGAGTGAATCCCATTAACCCTTTCCCGTTCCGAGACGTCTGCAAGTTGCAGGGTGGGTCCCGTTCACCGCTGAATCTCGGAGCGCGCGAGTGGTTCTTGTTAATTTTATTGAGAGAGGCATACAGCTGTTTTTTTTAAACATTGTACTCATCGTAGAGAACTGTAGCGACACGACAGCACTCTATGATAGCTGGCGCCAAATTGTGTCACGGCACCCTCCCACATAGCCTTGTGGGAGCCTCGTTACCGATAACGTTACTTAATGTTTTCTTCCGATTCCGTTCCGATGATGTGTGTGTACTGCTGAATCGTACGTGTACGTCATCGGAATGAAAATCAGAAGAAAAACATGCAGCTCTGTTGTAAGTGGTAGAGTGGAGAAACAACGCTGTGGGAATGGTATGCTAAATTATTGGATCACATGGTTATCTGGTCACATGTCAGATGCTTGAATAATTTTGACCGAATTGGCATAAAATGTCCTATTGTATCATAGCTTACAAATGACACCTCGTCCATTGAAGTTGGTGCAGCGGATGACTCGGCGTTAAATCAGTAAGTACCTGGTGTTGGTTTGTAAACAACACAAAGGTGACAAAGGCAGCCAGCCGAGTGTGACGCTGTGAGGAGCGGGGGCGTTTCGGTGCTGTATAAATGACAAATTGTTGATGGTGTTGAATGTGGAACCCGCTGTCTCGGGGACATAAACAGAGATGAACAGCGGAGCAAGGAGACAGCACCGCAGGCGTTTTTGGCGCAGATGTGAAATTCCCAGATGTGATGTGGCCGGAAACATGGCGGTCAAGCAGATGGGCAGCGAGGCGAATGATCGCAGACCTAGACTGTGATCTCATTCATTGCCACACGTTTCCTCTCATAGGCAAGGCATTCCTTTCAATAGAATTGGTCAACTATCCCATTGCAAGATTCTCCTGTTGTTATTACTATCTTACAACAAAGGAATGTGTACAAATTACAGGGTGACTGTAAAAGCATAAAATGGTTACTTAAAACATGAAAATCGTTTCATATGTGGGGTGGTTAAAGATGCAGAGATAATATTGAACAAGGCTGGAGGAAAATCAGCTACTCTTGTTTATGACCTATGTGAACATGATAACATCTGATCATACAAACCATATTAATTTACTCTCTTGTAACATTTCCATGAAAGCAATAAAATTGTTTTACCCCCTTTGTTTATTTATTATTTGCTTTATTGTGCAAATTTTTCACTTGAGTGTTGCATAAAACTACCACACCAAGGGCCATATGCGTCTCTGTGCCAGATTAACCCCTATGCCTTCATACGGTGGCTCAATCGATGACCAACTTTGCAATACATGATTTAATTGCAGATTCATTTGCAATATTGTTACTGCCCTGAAAACATTGCTTCTTAAGTCGTCCAAATTGTGGCAGAGCCAGAATTGGACCTATGACCCGCAATATTAACAAATGTATTTTAGAACTCGCACATAATGGTAAGGCAAGAATACGTTTTTATTTTGCTATAATTTGTATAGCATTCACCAATTGTTGAACTACCTTTTGTGATTGTACTTCATTTGCCTGGATTATTAAATTTTCTCATAAATTATGGGTCTAATTCATGTGTTCACAGAAAAGAAATTTATATTGGATATTATGGGGGTGGAAAATATGAAATGGCAATATTTTTTTCCCATTTAGACATTTTTTGTCCGCTGACAATAGGCAGAAAAGCATTTTCCTTAATTGCACGAAATAAAAGCTCCGAATACATCTCGATTTTGATATCTGCATGAGAGATGAGTAGTTTTCCATTCCATATGCCCTTACAGCGGGCATAGCCAAAATTACATTGTGGAATGACGAGGAAATTACATCACAAACCAAGATTCATCAGGGGTCTGCCTTGTAAAGCTATCATATGTCGAGGTGATGATTGGTGGATCACACACATGATGTGAGACTCCCTTCCCATGCGTGTTGTGGTGCCGTGCCTGTATTTGCCAAGAGAATGCGTGAGCAGGGATATTAATCTAAAACTTCCATGTCTTTTGACTTGGTTGCAGACCTGCCGGGACACCTTTCTAGGCAGGTCTAGCTTGAGATGTTTTCCATTTATGGTAACGCCGCCTTCTCCTCTCTGTCGCGAGGAGGCAGGGCACTGTCTGATGCAATGTGGCAGCACTGCGAAAGTGCGGATCGCGTTCTCACTGCAAAGTGTTCCTGGGCAATTTTCTTCTCAATTTCTCGAAACCAATTCTCCTCCTATCTGTTCAAAGCAGAATCCCTTTGCATATTTCTATCATGTAGATATTCCTGATAGCATGAAAAAAAATTATACCGTTATGATGATTAGAGCATGATTTCTGTTCTTGTTTTTAACCTCGACGTTAAAATACATTGTTGATTCCAGCGGCCGTATGAATGCTTCTGCTGGTGGTATCCACAATGCTGGTTATAAGTGATGTAATACCCGTACTTAGACGCTTACGTCTCACTGGTGCAGCCATCTTTGCGACCTCCTGCTCCCGAGTCCCGTCGCTTTTACTCGGGGCAGTCGGCGCACTGCAACTGCTCTCTTCCAGCGAGCAGGACCCTGCATGCAACATGTAAACAGCGAGCAGACGTGGAGCCATCTTTTAACAACATCAACATGAGGCAAACAAAAACAATACGTTATGCTCATCTCTGAAGTGAGAACAATGTGTTGCCTCGTGATGAAGCTGTACACACACAGCCACTTTGTGGCTTGCAACTAAATTTAGGAAAGTCTGAATTGTATTGGGAACATCATGGCAGGCTTGTGTTTCAATCGGAGCTAATCAGAGTGAGGTATTTGACGCATTACTCTCCCAGCAGATTACAGCGCCTCCGCTCTGGCAGCTGAAAATTAAGACACCGGAACTCGATGGTCTAAAGGGTGGGCGGTTATGAACTTGGCAAACAAAAACATAATTGAGGACCCGACCGTGGAAGTGCCGGGATTCTCTCTCTCACGACGGCTGTAGACCCCACACTGAACCGGGGCTCGGACGCATACACGTTACATGAATGTAAAATCAAAAGAAGCATCACACTGCGCTTGTGGTAAAGCACAAACCATCAAACACATCACCAACGAGTTGGCCATCCACGCACACCCTGGCAGCATCACTGCAATCCATACAGCATCTACTGCCGCCTTGGATTGCTCGACGGACCTTAACATTGAACTATGACATCTATACAAACTGTTGCTTACATGCCATACGAAAGAAGAAGATAGAAGGTGAATTGTAGTGACCACTCGCAGCTACTACACAAACATGTGTTTTCTTTACACATGTTGGTGTAGTAGCAAAATATATTTTACCTACCTGCCAACGTGAGTCACATATAAACAAAACTAAGCTGCACTTCCCACAATGCACTGCAGATGCCATTTATTTTACAAACCTCTCAATAAAACTTAAAGTTTGGGATGCAATTGCAGTCGAAAATCAGGACAGAATATTGAGAATGGATGGACAGGTGTAAAGGATTAAGATGAACAGGTTTGCGAGACAGCTGTTGGAGTTGTACCCAAAGGTCTGAGTCCAAGGGGAGAGAGAAAGCGAATCTAAAACCAGGTGGATAATTGGATTGTGAATTCAACATGCGACAATGATAAATTATATCATTGCTGAGCACCCACCAGACCAGGCCTCCTGAGAGGGGTTGTGTTGTCTGCACCCATCTGGTAGAGAAGTCACTGATGAATCCTTTGCAAAATTTGTTTCATAAAATTGTAAAGGCCAGAATGTGTCTTTCTTATTTGCACCTTACATACAATAAATGCACTTCCTGTTTCACTATTTACGTCGTGTATGAAATGGGATGCCGTCATCCAGCAGTGGACTGAAAACGTGCCATAGTTTTAATACGTGGATGTTGTATACATGATGACAAAAATAAACAGGTAAAAAAAACCTAAATAAAACTGTTAGCACGGAGAATGGTAGGGTGGTACAATGCCCTCACAGCAGCGTGACACCTCCTCTCATGTTCAACAGCACTTGATTACCGTTCGTCCAACTTAATTGTTTGGTTACGTGTAGATTATGAGACTCTGTCCATGCTAGAATGATCACATTCATAGAACCAATCTCTGTGGGCAGTCTTTAGCCCGTGGTGGAAATGTTATATTCCTATTGTTGACCCAAGTTCTTTGTAAGACCAATTAATCCAAACCTTGTGATCATTTTTGAAGTGCTCTGCTACAGCACCACAACACTCAGCCAACGTATCCCTAATGACCTTCCAGAATTAGCATCACTGTGGAGGAGCCAAAAGCAATTCACCTGTGCATAATTAAGTTTGTTGTTATTATTTGATATTAAGATCATCAAACGGTGCCTGAATTATGGAGACACTGACCGCCACCACAGAAATTTGGCATTGAGTAGCATCGGAGATATTGTACTGTGTGTAGTTGTCACGCTTGTGATCTATCAGCTCTCTGATGTGCATTTGGATTGTACCACGCGCTGTTCAGCAAGATATCGACGAATTCACTTTCCCAAAGAAGCTCCCCAAGCACGCGAAATGAGACATCAGACATGCATGCCTTGCGACACGCGACGGTGACCCGAGCACACACGGCGGCGGCAATGGAAATGATGACCAAAGCCACGTTTGCTCATCTTGGCAGAGACGATGACATTTTTTGTTGCCGTTTTCGTTTACTGAAGCGCTCGTGCCAACGCGCACAGAAGCGAGTCGTCAGGACTCGTCGAGGCTGGGGTCCTTCCCTTTTCATTTTGCGAACGCGTCGCGAGATGCGGAACAGCGCGACAGCATTACCGCCCGGGGTGCTGACCTCCGGTGATGTACAATGCATCAAGTACACAGACCCACATCCCGTGACGCAGGAACTTCACATTTAATTACATTAAGTGCTTTGTAGTACCGAATTGATAACGGTGACGGCTGCCAAACCCTACTGCCCCCTCCCAGCCCCACTCCATCCACCCCCCCCCCCCCCCACGACTGTGGCACTAGAAAGCAGGGAAGGGAAGCTGTGATGGGCGAGCCGACCCGCATGCCTCCCCACTATTAAGGCAAAGGTGACATTGTAAACATGGTTAACAATGCCCGACGCTTAGGCTCGAGCGCAATATATACACACACACAAAAAAACAATTACCGAGTCGTGACATTTAAAAAAAGAGTCTGCCAGTCAAAATCTGTTGCGGCAGATTCAGACAGAGGGCGCTGCACCACACAGTGCAGTTTCACGTGAGTTTGTGAAACGTTCTTAAATGCAATCGCATTTCGTTGTGATTTCAAACATTGGGGGGGGGGGGGGGGAAATCAGGATATGTAAAGAGTTTGAAGAAGAAGACTTTTTGACTTTTAAACAACTTTTATTGCCACCAGCAGCAGCAGAACTGGAGGCGATTTCGATATGAAATACACAGTCACCAGCAAACAAATGAAAATAAACGCTACAAATCCACGCGCTGTGGCGCTAAAAGCACCGCGCACAAAACGAAAGAAGGGAATGTTATTGAGCAGTGAGAGAGAGGTAGGCCAGAGGGGGGGGGGGGGTTGAGACGATGCTATTTTAGTTTAGTTTAATATTTCTATGGCAGAAGTGCATCGAATTCACTTCATAGGAAGAGACAGTTGTGATCACTAGAAGAGAAATACGTCTTGAGCCTGGATTTGAAGAGGAAGGTTTTCTTCAATGCTGAGGGCCGTAAGACAATAAGTGTAGCATCACGGATCGAATATCCGCCCATTTAGTGAAGGCTGACTGACCGTTTTGGTCAGGGACTGAAAGAAAAATACACTAAATATACGATTTAAGTAGTACACCTCGATGTACAAAAACTATGTTTAGATACTAAAGTTTGGATGTGTGATACATAAGAGAAATAGTTGGTGTTTGAAAGTTTGTTCATTTTGGGTTTTCTGTTAAATCTATAACAACAACATAAACAAGTATAACCCGTAAAAAAAAGTTTTTCACTATAAATCCTTTATATGCGTGGCGGCTAGAGTCCTCTCGTCCTCTGGCTTGAGATGGCTGCCACCTATGGGTCAGATGATTGCATTGCACCATTAAGCAATTGGTAATTAAATATAATATTTTTGTCCTAAAAAGTGTAAAATTTTGGCAAAAAATTTTCACGAACATTAATTGTCACGCACAACGAGTCTGTGTGGAAAATTTCAGCTCGATTGGATCACGGAAAGTGGGTTAAAAAACGACCGAAAGATTTGCACGGTCGTAAGCAAGCAAGCGAACTTAATATAAAGGATTTAAAAAAGCATACCGTTTCAGTTTTGAAATGTTTCTGCCAGTGATGCAACGCAAATGTAAACTCATTGGTTGGGGCAGGACCAGTTCAATTCATTGTTTTTGTCATTGCCTTTGGGAATTCGTATTGAGTGGCAGTGCATCCGACTCGTGAAATATGTACGTGCTATAAATTGTGTTTATTATTGTTTATCATTATTATTACACGCTTTTATTTAACTCACTCTGTCTGTTGTTGTTGTTGTCGTATCCTCAATCTTGTAACTCTATTTTAACCCACTTCCCAATGTGGTATCGACTGCAAACTTGGTATACTTATGTCATACTGATGACAATACTATATCCTATCATAAAAATATTTTTAAACAATCTTTTTTATATTTTATGTTTCGGCTTGGGTCTAATTGTCCACGCTCAACTAACGTTGGCTGTAAATCACCACGGCCCTTACGTTATGGCAAGCATTGCGGCCACATCCTGGAGTCGTGGAGATCTGCCATTACTCGTACGGTACATTTTATTAAAGCGTGTTTAAAAAAAGTATTTTTAAATATAACTTATTTTATTTTGTTTATTGTTTATAGAGTTTTAACTGTTTCTCTGCACATGAAATCGACTAAATTATATTTTTAAATATATTTTTTCTGTATATTAAAAAAGATAGAGATTTTACAAAAAGATCGGACATAATCTGATGCAATGATATCAATGTTTTCCATTTTTATTCCAGTCAATATCAATAGTAAAAGTGTTCAAGTAATCTCCCGAACCAACAGTTTGGATTGGATGAGATATAGCCGTGCAATTTCCAACTAAGGACCCCATCCAATGGTACACCCCTATGCACGACAAAAATTTCGTGCAAAAAAATATATAATTCCATATTTGGCTATACGGGCCATATATAAACCATTTTATTTATACAGAAAAGCCTTTGCATTGTCTCAATGTTTTCAGAGAACTGTCTGGCAGCATAAAAAAGTTTTGCAAGAATGAAAGTGGGGTGTCTAGAAAAAGCCACACACATGAAAGGATAAAACTCAATCTCCACCACACAAATGCCTACGGCAGGGGCCAATATTTTCAATAGACAATCGCTATTGAACAACATGCAATAATCGTGATCTATGATAATGTTTTAGTTTCTTCGTATGTTGGTTACCTACACGCTCGATTCAATACCGTATGCCCCTGTCTGGCATCTTCGATCCACCAAATCCAGGCATCTGAGTGTATCAAAGAAAAATCTGCGTTCAACGGGTTTGTGAACTTTAGGTAGTCAGGGGCGTCGTTTGTGCAATGTCTTGCACCAGTCCATTAGGAAGCCCCGTCAGTGAAGGTTTTCAAGGCTCGTCTGAAAACACATTCATTTTCTCTTGCATAGCCAACTGCGTAGTGCTGTTTTCTAATTAGTTTTAATGTTAAGGATTTTTTACTGGGATTCTATTGTAAAGCCCTGATTGCCTTGTGTGAATGGCGCGATATAAAACTGAGTTTTACTTACTTACGAATACTATTGTTCTCCGTCCTAGGTTTGGCATCCGTAAACTCATCAATTGATTATTGATTGAGCTGGGTGGGGGGCTCTGGCTACCCACCACCCCTCGAGAGAATGCCACTACCTCCACCATAAGACCCCTTCCTGCCACAATTTCCTCAGGGTTTGGAGTTTCTGAGCCAGGGCTCACAAGTGTTTCAGCTCACGTAGCTTAATGGTAAAATTAGCTTGTGCGAGTGGGATTAAGAGTAGGGTTTTCACTAAGCAGGACGTCCATAAATTACGTCACGCATCTAGGGGGAGGGGGGGGGGGTCAGACATTTGTGACGATGTGTGACGAGGGGGGGGGGTTGAGAAATGTGACGTCACAACTTTAAATACATTTAGACAACACGTTCTACTTAATTAAATAGACTTTTTAATAAATGTTTTCTCCTACAACATCAGAGTGCAGCGCCACATTAAATACGGACTACAATGACAATAGTTTAAAGCGATTTGAAGCATGTTTTATTTTGGGGGGGGGGGGGGGCAGGGCTTTGTGACGTCATATTTGAGGGGGGGGGTGTGACTTTTTGTGACGCCGTGTGACGAAGGGGGGGGGGGGGTCAAAAATCGTCCAAAATCGCGTGACGCCATTTACGGACGGCCCCATAGCAGGACGCCCAAAACGTCCTGCAGGCAACGGCGGTGGCTCGAGGTGCGAGTGGGCAGCACAGTGCAGCTGACTCGGCTAATTAGCGCATGAGCGCTACACGGTGGCGGTATTTCTCATAATTAGAACATGGCCGCACGCGCAAAGAAGTGTCGAGACTGCTGATCAGTTCAGCTTAGCAATCCGCACTCTCAGTGAATCCATTTCCCCGGGCAGTACCATGCCTCCACGTGACAGAGAGAAGAAGGGAACGTGACCATAAATGAAAAGGGGAGTTGAATATCTCCAGCTGAATCTGCCCAAAACTGTGCTGAGACTCTACGAAGCTTTGTCTTACGACAATGGAATGGAGGCTTTTGAGTTTGGCACCAAAATGCCATGGAAAAGGATGGCGGCACTGTCAGAATCCATCTCGCTCTTTCCAAGCATGAGACAGCACTGCAAGTGGTCCTTTGAAGCCGTGGATGCCCTGAAGGGGCAATCCGGGACCAGTGCTGGGCCTCTGTTTGTGGTTAAGCGGCCAGGTGAGGCAGAAGTCCGTGCAGAATGCGGGTCGTGAGGCGTACGAGCAAGCCGTCGGGCTCAGGAGAGGGCCCTGTTAAGTTGTTTGGGAGGAATCCTGGGGGAGCTTAAGTGTCAAGATACAGAGCCTCCTGCTGGGGGAGGCAAGAGCGGACACAACTCTTGGGTCAGTGTAGGAGAGTCTCAAAGCACGTCAGGGCCCCCAAGGGCCCAGCAGGTTATAGGAACAAAAAGGCAAGTGGCCCAGAGGATGAGTGGAACAAATCGGACAAGGAACTCCCTCCCCCACCCACCAAAGGGGGTTAAAGGGCTCGGGGAGCACGGAGAGTGTTCGTGTTCAGGTGAATCAAAGTGTGGGGCAGGAGGCCTTTGTGAGGACACTTCCTGCGAGGAGATGTAAAACGCCTAAAAGGGAGCCTGTTGCATGGTCGAGGAGTGATCACCACAGACCAGCGGTTGGCAACCTGCGGCGCCGGAGCCGCATGCGGCTCTTTGGAGGGACCGCTCCGTGACGTTATTCACCACGCGTCGCGGCTCTTGAAATAATGAGTTTTGTTGACCCGAATTCGAACAAAAATGGTCTCTTCTCGTTACATTGATTGCCGACCCCTGCCCCAGACCTCTCAAAAAGGGAGAGGGGCAGAGCCCCCCTGCCTGCCGGGTACTAAGAGTTAAATGATCAATACATTGATGAGTTTCTGGGTGACCGACACAAAAGTGTGTCCGACACAAAAGTGTGTCGGTCACCCAGCAACTAAAGCGAGAGTCTCAGAACAGTTTCAGGCTTGAGATGTTCAACCCTTTCCATCTATGGTAACTTGGTATATGGGAGTAAACTGGAGTGTCCAGAGAGAAAAAACACAATCACCAATGGAGATGTAACCAAAATAACTGCACCGAATAGGTCATAAATGTCTTACTGTAGGCCGCCTCATAGCTGCGCATGTGAATGTTAGTCACGTGATTATCTCAGCATTTCACCAACCCCTTGTGCACCACAGCCTTAAATGCCAGTATTATTTCCAATAAACGCACTGCCGGCAAGCTGGGGATGCAGTATTAAAAATGTTTTTTTGGGGAGAAAGTGGGGTGGTTGTGTTGTTGTGGGCACAGCTGCATTCATCAGCAGCACTAATTATCATTAGCGTTCACATTGCACTCATTATCATTCGCGTTCACGTTGCACTAATTACACGATGTGGCAGCAAAAATCACGGTAATCACGGGCGGCAGCTGTGCCACGGCTAACCAGTAGCACTTTAAGGAATCCTGAATCAGTTTCACACTGAGCCCCTTGCCTTGGAGGCCCTTGCCTTGGAGGCTGGAGTCATGTGACAAAACAAATGAAACCCTATCAAACTGTGCATCGATGATTTGTGGGGGGTTTTTTTGTCGCAACAATTTGGGCCGTATTGAGACTCAATTTGGCAAAAAGATGGCTGCTTTTATGGGAAATCAGCCCCTCTCCACAGATTTGCAATTCATTTCGGGTCGATTCCGCGCACTGGCAGAAAGGCTCAAAATGTATGGGGGGTAGGGCGGAGCCTAGAGATTGTGGAAATATTCCCACCGTTTGCATAATCTTGGCAATCGACGTTGATGGCCATGGCTTGTCCACAAACCGCTGAGAGAGCATAGTGGCACAATTTTTCAAAATTCACGTTGTGCGCGAGACGGATTAAGGCCTGCTTGGGTTTGGCTAGGATGATGCCATCAGTAGAGTCTCCTTGGCTCCTTCCCAAAACGATGATTGGCTGCCAGGTCTCTTGCTGAGTGGTGCCACATCCATTCTGCCTGGTGGAATTTGTGGAAAAAAACTACATGCATTGGGAGGAATGCCATGTAAGCCTGAAGCCAGAGTGTATAGGAATTCTGGTCCCTTTAACCTCAATATAACGATATCTATGAGGCCATTTGGATCATGCGACTACGTGATTTGAGATGCGATGCACAATGGCCTATTTGCTGGTGATATTGCTGGAGCATTGCAGATTCACAGCAGATATAAAACAAACACTTTGGCTATGCCATGCAAATCCTGTAGTGAATTTACATGCGTACAGGGTAACTCGTATATGACAATTTTTGTGTGCGGTAATTACAGCTGTAATTTAAAGCTGGTTATGTTAATTTTAAATGATGTACTTATTTAGCATCAAAATTGTCATTGGGACCGTTGAAGTGCAGTACTTTGAAAGACGAGTCTATATTGTGAAGTAGGTGACTCTCTTTTCACTTTAATTTGTGTTCATAAGAGGCAGTTTTGTGTTATGCAAAAAACCATTATAAGCGGCTGACATGAGGTGAACTTCTTTCACACCGCACGTAGCCAACCGTGCTAATCGGAGGTAAGATGTTGATTAACATCCATGAAATTTACTAAATTGTGCATACCGTTATTGCTGAGACATTTTCTAAAGACGCATTCGTAGTGTGTTCTTAAACTGCTTGGACATTTTTTTTAAAGAAAAAACATTCGTTTTGAACCTTAACCCAGGGCGAATGCATATGATGCTAGAGATATTTAATCATAGGATATGACAAGGAATGTTGAAGATCAACTGTAGCCACCCACACTAATCAGATGTGCGGGGGAAGGAGAACAAACTAAAAACACAAAAAAGCAGTTCCAAACAAGTGAGTTTGTCAATCTAGATGATTTAAAAGTGCATAGCTCCAGTGATTTCTTAATATCAGAAGGAAGAGCGTTCCAGATGACCGCAGAAGCGCATCTGAAAGCGCGCGATGCAGTGACCGTCTTTGTTCGATGGCTAGCCAAAAACCGCTGCGAGGATGACCGGAGTGCGCGTGATGGTTTTATACTCCTTGACAAGATCACCAAGGTATTTTGGTTCACTTGTGGCAAGCACTTTGTGTGTAATGAGTGCAACCTTATAACGTATTCGTTCGGCAACCGGAAGCCAATGTAGCTCGGCGAGCGCCGGACGGACATGGTCAGATCTTGCAGTGCCCGTACACGCTGCAGCTTGGTAATGTTCCCAATGGAGAAGGAGGATTGAGATTGGCTCGTGTGCAGGAGCTTGATCGGCTATCGCGTTGTGGGACCTTGAGGGATGGTGGGCGGCTAGGGGAGGCCTTCATCCACCAGTGGAAAGATCATGGCTGATGGTGGGTAGAAAACAACAGACGAAGGCTTACCTGGCTGCGGGCACCACCGCAAGGTGATGCCATCAAGGGCCACGAGTGCTGAACTGCGTTCCCTGAGCAGTGGCGTCTGCGCCGTGGGCAGCAGCTGCCCATCCTCAGGCCTCCGCGGGGTCCCTTGTTGCTGCTCCCTCGGGCCCCAAGTGCATTGCAGGCCGATGTGAAAGGGACCTCTTGGGCGCCCCACCACACCGCGCACCAACGTCCAACTGTGACACAAGCAGGTAGGTGTGACATCGGCTGCTCGTTCGACGTCAAGTCAAAGTGCATCCCAGCTCGAAGGACACCAGGGCGATGGTCATCACCATTGGTTGCCCTGAGAGTGTTGACATTTTCACATTTTCATGGTAGAGGTCATTCCAGCCATTGCATGGCTTCTATTTACTATCACCGTATAGTTTTTTTTGATTGACTTACGATGGATGATTGGAAGTGTCAACCGCCCCTCAAATGGCATTGCAACTTGCAACGTTCCTTCTAATTTGTGTCATTTTCACGAACCAAGTTTTCTTCAATCATCGAAAATCCACCACTAAAAAATAAAAATATACGTGATGCTATATGCAGGCCCACATATATACGAAGGGCCAGCATTCACTGTATTTGCTTGAGTGTCTTTTAAAAACCCGACAGTGGCCACTGCTTCGTGACCTCCCAAGTGAACACAGGTGTGCTTAAGAGTAAATGCACTCATGAAGAGCTCGTATACACAGTACACATCACGTTTACCTTTATGCTTCTGATGCGGTCACGGATTAGTGCATACAATGAATGGGTTCTTCAGTCGAGTAAATATTAATTTTAAAAAAGCACGGTAGCAACCTGCAATTAACAGTTGCTAAGTGGCAGTATTTTCACGGATCACATTTGGCCTGATTACATTCCTCGACCCATCTACCTCAAACGGCTCTATACTCCTTAGCACTAGCTGGAAGTGCACCAATTCCATATCCTTCCTCGATCTGTTATTCTATTCTTTCCCATTAAGGTAACCAGCAGTGAATTGACACAAGTTGTGTGTCGGCCTACGGCAGTGCTGGTGGGTATACCAGGCGTTTGCTGGTAGCGAATTGTTTTGGAGGTGAATTTGGTGAATTGCACCGACTTCATCGTGTGCCGCCAATCTCTCAGTCTGCTGAGTTGTGGGGTGACTATTAAGAGACAGTGACAACAGCAAGTTGGTTTTTGGACATATCCACCATACTCGATGGTCATCCCCACCACGCGAGAGGAGAACATTTCAATCATGGACACTGACAAACAAAATGGAAACGAAATCTGAAGAGCAGACAGGAAAGTGTGGAGAAATGCACGATGGGAATTGCGCACAGAAAGAGGAACATATGAATCAGAGAACAAATGCATAGACATCAATTTTGGCTGCTAAGTAGGCTTGGGCAGGACACATCACTAGAAGGCATGATTATCGAGAGAGTTCTGCAGAGAGCACAGCCACTGTCGCGATGAGATCAACACGTGTGCGTGGGTGAGATGTATTGCGGCATCACGACTATGAAAAATGGTGATTGCATTGGGGAGGGCTTCATCCAGCAGTGAATAGACCATGAGTGATGATGATGATGATCAAGTATGGCATTTTATTATGAGAGAGAGATATACGTGAAAATATTTTCAGAATGCTTTCTGAGCATTATGTATGACAATATTATGATATATACACTGTAATATTCACATGCATCTGGGAATCAGTAATGTTGCCCTGAGGCTTGAGTGATTGCCATTAAAAATGCATATTGCATGCGCACAATCTGGTCATACTATTCTGTGCATGCCTGCCCCATCTCACGCATATTTGTGGATGTCCAGTTTGACCAGATGACTCATTGCCTAGAGATCAGATATTGTTCGAATTTCGCAGGAACACAGCTGGGCATATTTTTTGTGCTTCCCATTAATCTTTACAATGTGCTCTGCTACGGAGGCGATGGTTTACTCTTGGGAGGCGTGTGTGTTTGTACTATCTTTTTGTTATTTTCACGGCGTGTGGATAAAGGTAAAAACAAACACATTTCACAAATGTTATCACAATTGTGCTCTTAGCTATTTTTCGTAATTGAGCTTATACTTTTATTTAATTTTAAATTCTTCGGAGGAGTAACTGATATGAATCGGCACATACTTCAAACCTACACACATATATACGACGGGAATTCCTCGATTCATGAATAAGATGCGTCCCTGAAGAACAGTGCATAGATGCAAAATTAATATATATAAAAAATAATTCCCATTATTTTAACGGTAAAAATTAAGGGTACGTTCTCATAACACAAGGTAATACGTAATTCTACTCTCCCTTTACAATGATTAAAACAACACGTAATAATAACAATAATAAATACATTACTGTCTTTGGTGAAGTAATGACACAGAGGCTGAAGTAATGCACCTCATAAACTAGCCTGGCTCTGGATATGCAGTGAGATTGGGATTAGATCTTTTCACGAGTCTTCACCAGAGCTAATGAAGCAACTTGAGTATCATCAGTGTATATCAGTGAAAGAAGAAGCCATTATTCTGGATGAGGGCCCTAAGAGGGACAATGTAGAGGGAGACGAAGTGAATCAAGAACACAGCCCTGTGGAACACCAACAGATAGGCGGAGGGAGGAGTGGGAAGAGGACTCCATCCACATCTCCCTCCCCTATTATCCTCACTTCTCCCTTTCCGTTGAGGGAGACAGAGAATGAGATCGCAGAGATCGGAGGCTTCACATTTTTTGACACGATTGTCCATCAATGTTCAGTGATATATTATTGCACGTACCCTACAATGAACCTTAATTGACAAATGTTAAATACATTTTTATTTAAAGCTTTCGTGACTGCAGGGATTCATATTCTTGGTTCTTTCAGTAAAGTCACGTAGAAGGGAAATAATAAATAAAAACAATATATTAAAAATATATATATTGTTTCATTAATTGCACTATTTAACATTTATATTCTTGGTTCTTTCGGTAAAGTCACGTAGAAGGGAAATAATAAATATAAAACAATATATAAAACAAAAAATTTGTTCTATATTTTTATTATTTTATTATTTCCCTTCTACGTGACTTTACCGAAAGAACCAAGAATATAAATGTTAAATAGTGCGATCGATTAAACGTTTCCACCCGTTCCAAAATTGGACCTGTACTCATCTCCACTGGGGGCCATTGGACGATGGTGAAAATTCCACGTTACTTTTTTTAGGTAGCAAATCACTCCGTATGACAAGCACCATTGATTTCTCAACTTTGGAAGAAGTTACCCGATTTTAGATCGCATCGCGCAAAAAGGGTCAAAATGTCTCCTTACTCAAATAATCATCGGCCGGCTTTCGTTCCCACCAGCCTCTCTGACCCAGTGGTGAACGTTTTCTATTCCTCTGATGTTAGTTAATCTTCAAAGGGCAACCACCGGTGATTTTCCCAAGACGAGTGGTGCTCGGTTAATTAATCCTGGAAGGATGATCGGCTAGATCGAACCCTGATCAAGAATTAAACTAAACTATTTATTTATTTTGCCAGGTAAAGCCCACTGAGCTATATAGCTCTTTTTCAGAAGCGACCTTAACACAAATGATAGCTCAACGAAATGGCTTATCACGTGGAAATTGATAACAGCCACATTCTCTAAACACGTAATGTTCATTATGAATGTGGAGTGAAAAACCGGAGGACCCGGAGTCCACGCGACCACGGGGAGAGAGAGACGCGCAAACTCCAAATATACAGCAGGCGTCAGGGTCGGGATCGATCCCACGACCTCCTGCCTACCAGGCGAGGTAGTTAATATCTCGCCACCGTGGCACCAAATTTGAACTCGCAATCGCTTCAGATTGTGAGTCAATTGCTCCTCTACTGAACCATCCAGCTGGAAATTCTAACGACGACAACGACACATATAGTGTATATATTGCCAATCTATATATACCAAAGAAGCTGTGAATCTACGGAACAATAAATAAAACATACTCAGAAGCATGATTCATTATTATTTTAAACCTACTTCACAGATTTACAAATTCACCTCTGGCCACATTGTGTAAGTAATTTATTCATTCTGCCATTCATATCTTTACTTCAACTAGGCATCGGTGCTAACGTGTGTGCGTCACAGTGGCACGCGTGCACTGGTGCTCATTATCATTGCTCGCTCTGCGATACCCGCGAACCGAAAAGCACCATCACCATTGCCGCTGGCGCCACGGTCTCGATCATTAATCGCATGCCAAGACTAGCCGCCACGCACTCAGTGTTACACGCTGCCGTTTTCTATTCAGAAATTGCACATGCACAGCCCTTGTGTCAATCCACTGCTGGATGACGGACTGTCCTCATACCCCGTTGGTCATGGTAGTTATTTGACCATACTTTACCACGCTAACCCCGCATGCATGATGGTCACCTATCCATGTACTATCCAGGCTCAACCTTGGTTAGCTTCTTAGATATGGCACATTCCACATGATAGGAATATACATGAGGTTATATCATATACGGTGTCATTGTTTTTTTTTCAATAAAGGCAAAAATATGATAGGCCAAATCCTAATTTAAATATCGCCATCTTGAAGATGACACATGAAGGGGATATGTCATCCCCTACCTGTCAGTTTTCTACCTTGGTAACACTGCATTATGGGGGCAGAATCATAGCAATAATTTAAATTGTTCTCAGAATATTTGTCATTCGTGCATAGCGCTAAGAACTCGGTGACCTAAAATTGAATTCCTGCCCACGGCTAACGTTACTGGTTAGTATCGCTTTGCCTACCCACACATGGAGTGCAGGGAGGCCTTCGTCCAGCAGTGGATTGACAAAGTTAAGTATTATTTAACCCTCTTTGGTTCTTTCGGTAAAGTCACGTATAAAGATAAAATAATAAATTAAATAATAGCATACGACGTTTCGATTGCAACACAAGCAATCATCATCAGGTATAAATGAAATAGCAACAAAAATCTAACCAGGAAACTATAGACAGACATATAAGCAGACAGATATCACCAAGATACATAGAGAGAGAGTAACACATAGGCACAGAGAGAGAGAGAGATCGTCTCTGTGGCGAGGCCTTAACCCTAAATTTGGATCAGAATTTTTCTACATGATGCGGAGCCTCACCAGGTGGACTGGCTTGCCAGCTTGTTCACAACATCATATTGGGGAAAAAAACACTTACAAACGATCTGCCATTA